CCATCTCACCCTTCTTAATACTCCTGACACCCCTACTCGAGCGGGCACTGTTTCACAGCGCTCCACTACACCCGATCTCACGTTCTCTCGGAGTTCCCTTCCTTTTCACTGGCAGGTGTCCACTGAAAATCTTTTCAGTGATCACTTTCTCATACACATCACCACCCCTCTTTACCACAACAGGCGGAAGCAACGAGTCGCTCACACTGACTGGGAAGCATTCCATAATAACCTTTTGTCTGACTCATTTGAAACTTACGACGACTGAACGTCACGGATCTCCGCAGCAATGACATCCTGTAGTCACCGCGCTCGTTTTCAACTCCCCATTCCTGACCCTGATCCTCACTTCCTCCGCTTATGGGGACGTCGCCAACGTTTGAAACACGCTCTCCGCTCCCAGCCACACAACGTCCAACTTTCCTTCCGAATTGATGCTCTGCGGGCTGAAATTATCGCTTACAGCACTTCTCTCGAGCACTCTCGTTGGAACAGGCTGTGTGATGGCCTTGACTCCGCACTGCACTTTTGCTCTACATGGTCTCTGTTTAGGTCTCTCATAGGTTCCAAGCCTGCCGTTGCTCCCACTCTAGCTAAAGCTCTCACTCAAGGGACTCCATCTGATGTCTTTGACAATTTAAAATCTCTGTATCTCCCACCCCCCCTCACACCTTCCTACCCAAATTACTGTGGCGAAGCTAACCCAGACCTGGACCGCCCATTCACGCTCAGGGAGCTGGAAGCTGCCTTAGCCACTCAATCTACCCGCTCGGCACCCGGTGAGGATGAGATAACATATACTACACTACGTAATCTCCCCGACAACGCGAAGGAATTTTTCTTACACACATTCAACAAAGCATGGAACAGTGGCTGTCTTCCAAGCTCTTGGACATCCTCTCTAATTTGCATGATTCTGAAGCCGGGCAAACCTCCATCTCTCTCTAACCTTCGCCCTATCTTTTTGATGTCATGCGTTGGCAAGACTCTTGAGCGAATGGCCTTAACTGGACTGTCTGATTTTATTGAGGCGAAAGAGTTTTTCCCTCCTTCTCTTATTGGCTTCCGACGCCACGTTTGTGCACAGAACATGTTCCTTGTTCTTCAGCATACTTTTTTTTCACTTTCTCGTAGTCAGATCCATGCGCTTGCAACCGTCGATGTACGGAAGGCATTCGATGGCGTGAGTCATGACTACATACTCGCTCAGCTCTCCTCCCTGTCATGTGGCTCCCGCATGTATTCTTACATCCGATCATTTCTTTTCAATCGAGTTGCTCGTTTTAGAGTCGATACTCATTTGTCTAACCCACATTCCCTCACCCACGGCACTCCTCAAGGTGCCGTACTATCTCCTACTCTATTTAATATGGCTATGGCCCCCCTTGCCTCCCAACTGTCCCAAATACCTGACCTCCACCATATTTTTTACGCAGACGACATCACTCTCTGGTGTACGTCTGGATGTCCCGGCCACGTGCAGGATGCTTTGCAACGTGGCCTGGACCTTATCGCTTCCTTTCTCGCTACTGCTGGCCTGTCCCCTGCACCGGAAAAATGTGAACTACTTTTGCTAAACCGGTCTGCGTACCAGCACTCCCACAATACCCTCATCTCCCTACATCTTTCTAGCTCTCTCATCTCCACTGTTCAGCAATGCAAAGCTCTTGCCTTTCCTTTGCACGCGACAAAGGACGCGCAGGCCTTACATCACACTGTGAGGACTTGCCACTCGGTGACCCACCTCCTGCGACGCGTTGTCACTCGGCAGTCGGGGTTCCACGAGGCTCATGCGTGCCGGGTTGCACATGCGCTTGCCCTTAACAAGTTCTTGTACTTTGTACCCTACGTTCATTTCACCCAAACGCAACTCAACACACTCGAAAGAGCTCTATTAGGCCTCTACAAGGCGGCTCTAAACCTCCCTGTCACTATCTCTACCACTAAGCTCTTTGCCACAGGCCTCTTCCATTCATTACGTTCTTTTGTTTCTCTGCACCACGACTCTCAGATTGCCCGTCTTTCACTCACTCGTCAAGGCCAATGGCTATTAGCCCAAGCCGGTATCCCTCACATTCCCGTTTCCGTTCCCACCTTGCCTTCTGCCGCTAGCACCGCTGCTTCTAACCTTTGCATCCTTCCCCTCCCATCCAATATGTCCCCCGTTCTTCACGCCGGCCGGCGTCATGCGGCAGCACAGCATCATTCTCCCCCTCTCTCTACACAGGGAGTTGCCTACACGGATGCCTCATACATGGCTCCTCGGGGCTCGTGTGGATACGTTATCTACCATCCACACCTTTCGGCACCTGACAAGCACACCAGCGGGCCATACTTACACCCGCCAAATGTACTTTCGCTCGAGGTCCTTTCCATGGTCCACACCATGCAGTCATTTTCCTCCCTCCCTTATCTCCCTGAGTACCCGATTTACTCCGACTCTCACGCCGCCATCCGTCACATACAGAACAACACGTTGCCCCCTGCTCTTCAACAGGAGGTCGAGCGAGCGGCCTGTGCTCTTCAACCCTCCACTGTCTTCCTCCGCTGGGTTCCTGGGCATTCGGGTATTAACGGCAATGAGCTAGCTCATCAGCTTGCCCGCGATATATTGCACCGGGCACCTTTCATTCCCTGGCCCACACCTTTGGAAGACAGTGAGAGCTCCGCGAATAACGATGGGCAGATCTCCTTGCGTCACACTATCAAGGAGGTATATCTCCAGCTCCAGCTCGACAAGCATCTTTACCCTCCCTCTCATCCATCACTCACTCTGCTCGAGGCTCGAACTCTACGGCACATCCAAATGAGCTGCCTGATAACCCCCTCTCGCCTTTTCCTTTATAAATACAGGTCTAACCCCTGCTGTCCTAATTGCCCTTCCCCATACGCTGACCTGTCACACTGCCTGTTTTACTGCCCAACTGCTCAGGAATCCAGCTATTACCCTCCCCCATCCCTTTCCATCACCTCCTGGCTCGACTGGATCGGCGCTGAAGGGGAAGAACAGTGTCGACTGGTCGCACAGGCGGTCGAAATGCTCGGCCTGTAAATTGTGGCTGAATAAAAGTTTATTACTACTACTACTATTGTATAAACGCGGGGGTGGGCACTCGAGTAGTAGCGGTGAACATTGATTTTAAGGGCGTGGTCGTGATCGCTGGTGCGCGTGCTATCTCGGCAAGCATCAGTGTGCGTTCCATGCAAAGAGACTGTGTGAAAAGAGCACTTCTCCCTGGAACAGCCGTAATTAATTACACCAGCGTTTTGTAGAGTTCTGTGACATCGTATCCAAAAGATTTGGCTGCCAGCCTTACTTCGTATAACATTATAATTTGTTGCTCTCGCATTCATTGCATTGCATTCAACACACCGTTGTGTTCTTGCCAGAGCTAATTGGCTAGTTGCGAAGGCTACGGTCCCTCGAACTCGCGGCGCAAATAAAAACTCGTGACGAGTCGGCCTTTGAAAATTCGTCGTTGTCACCGCAGTCTCCGAGGGTTTCCATCAGCGCCTATAATCTGACATCCCCTCTGTAGTGATGACACGGTTGTCCGCATTGGAAAAAAAAAGAAAGCAAACCTGAACATTGTGGGGAGCCACGCCATGCACATTCAGTGAAACTATGCACGCACCCGCGTCATCGAAAAAGAGCGAACGACACGGATATCGTGGAAACCCATTCGATAAAGTGCCCTACTTTTGCATTGGCAGTGCCAATGGAAAAGTAGTTTTCTTTTTCTTTTTTTCTAGTTTGGAGGAAGAGGGCACATTCGCATATGTGCCTGCAGAGGAAAAAACGGCGGCAGCGCCAGCTCATGGGACGGCACCCGCGCACAATAAAGAGCGCTCGCCCCCGCCTGGGAGTCACCGGGGCCACTAGAGCACGGCCGCTGCTTCGCGCTTCGGCAGCAGCAAGTTAACCGCGGAACATGCATGCTCGTGCCAAAATGACGAAATCCAAGACAAAATTCTTCGATTGACCGTTACGAAAATTCCTTAAATGAAGGTTGCCTTTTGTTGTTACTATGTTATGTAGAGGTCGCACATACATCTGCTTTTATGGAGTAATGGTGGGGAATAGAATAACTTGGTTATATTGAGGAATTCGTTATATGGAGGTTCGTTATAAGCAGGTTTAACTGTAGTACTAGCCCAATGACTTTGCTCATTTGTTCACATTCCTTGTACTTACTCACTAAAGAAAAGTGCCATTGCAGCACATTGTAAGACAGCATAAATGCTAGTTATGCATTTCTATTTGATTACTGGAGCGAATATGTCTGACCTTAGCTTAGGGGGTGCACAAATTACATTCCAGCTACAATTCTCTCTGAATAACAGCTACAATATTAGAGGCTACGAGTGCCAAAGTGACAAGGACTGTGAGTGCCAGATTGAATAGTAAGAGCTGGAAGCTGGTCATGACTTCTATGCTTTTGTTGACAATACTGGGTCGGTGCTAGTTGAAAAATTTCACCCATTTCAGCTGTTTTGTTGATGTGTACAGCTTTGCTGGCTTTGCTTGATCAGAAAACTAACTTTAACTTCAAGTGATCAAAACGCCATACTCAAGGGGTGTAGTTGGCTTGATTTCTGGCTGTACTTTCCGTGTTTTAGGCACATTTTGAGCAAGAAACTTTAGCGCTTCCTTTAGGGCAGTAATGGTTAGTGTTAGGCATACGCAACATCATTCGCCCTGTTCGGGTGCAGGCCACATGGATTGCACTAGGGGTATGTATGCCCTCAAAGTACAGTTTTTTATTAGTTACTAAGCATTTTATGGCACAAGATCAGCATTACGAGGTTAAACAAATTGTAACTTAACAATGTGTGATAACTTTTATATGCAGTCAGTGTTGCTTTGATTTCAGTGTTTCTTTGAGCTTCTGCATGGTGCAGGCTTGCTCAAGTAATGTCATAATACTTGTGCCAGTAAATCGTCTTAGGTGTGTATCACTTCATGTGTGACTTATTTAAACATTTCACTCTGGGCACAGGGCCCTCAGTGTAGCCACTGTGAGCCTTTCTACGTGGGTAACCCTGCCAAGGGAGGCCGCTGTGTGCCATGCCTTGAATACTGCAACCAGCATACAAATATCTGTGTCGAGGCCGGACAATTGGATTTCAACGAGTCTGCTGGCAACCTTTCACCTGCTGAATTCCTGGAGGTAAGTTTTCTGTAGTATTATTGATTTCTTACCTGCGTCAAAAACAGCAACACTTGCCTGCTAAAAATTATGTGAAAAATCTTTAATCATCTGGAATAGCTGCCCTAATAGCTCAGTGGTTTTTGAAATGATCATCAAAACTGTTGCAGAGTCCCTTCAAACTTTTCCCGAGTTATCAAAACTGTTGCAGAGTCCCTTCAAACTTTTCCCGAGCAGAGAACTTTGTTTTATCGTTTATGTTTTCGAGGGCCTTAAGTGTTCGTTTGTTGAGGGAAGACACTGCTATTAAAAATGAAATTTTTATTATTAGAGATATTTTAATGACATTAGGTGTGTTTCCTTCTTCTGTTTTCAAAAATGTAATTAGTTTTATTTTCCTCCAGTAGTTCTCAGATTATGATAAAATAAGTGAAGTCTAATTAGGTCACTTCTTTTGGGTGATTAAGGCACTTTCACTCCATATTTTTTGGTTCAGTTTAAGATGCAACTGTAGCCAAAGATCTGCCATCTGGAGCTATGCCACTGTCAAATCTCATTAATTTGAACATACTTAATTCACACTTCTAGTTAATTAGAACTCACACCGTGGTCCCGTTAAAGCTATGTGTACTCCAATAGGCGAAAATGCCCTGTAATTCGAATGCGCAAGCACTTGCGATGGTTAATTAGAACATACTGCGCTCTGAAAATGCTCTCAGCACCATGCCCAATCCTGTGGCAGCATCTCCGACACCTCAACACTGCACGCGAAGGAGTAAACGAAGAAAAGAAAAGAAAAAGCTACGGTGGAATATTTTCTCTCTCTCGAATGACGATCTGCAATGCGCATGTGCCACGCTTCTCCCTTTTCCGTCCCTGCTACATAGAGACCCTTCTTTCGTTGTTGCACACAAAGAGAGGAAAAAGCAAAAAGAAAGCTGGCGCGGACTGTTGGCTCTGTAATGCCGATGTGCGACACGCCAGTGCCACGCTTTCCCCTTTCCGTTTTTGCCACGTACAGACCCTTGTCCTTTCAATGCCGTGCACGAAGACAGCAAAAAAATTCAAAATAGAAGAAGCTGCCGCGGAGTGTTTGTTCTCTCTTGAATGCCGATCTGCTTCTCTTCGCGTGGAGACGCTCCTCTTTTCTCGTCATGTGCTGGCCACGCTCTAGCTGCGGCACAGAGGGTAGCAGCGGAGACGCAGGCATTGCTTTCGTTTTTAGAGAGTGTTGGCGGGAGACATTGCCACACGCAACTTCTCTTGCCAGGAGAATGCTGAAGCCGAAAGCCAGGAGAATGCTGAAGTGCTTTGCAAACTGCGTGTGAAATTGACTGACTCGCTTCAAGGGAAATGTGTGCAGACTTCAATTAATGATTAGTGGCCTGTGATTTGTGAATAAATGTAAGTCTTCTGAAACTTCCCCCTCGTGAGGTAGCTCAATGCACATGCACCACTGCATGGCGAGTGCTTCGTTCATTTAGCTTTCATTAATTCGAACTTCTTTTAATTCGAACAAATTTTCAGGCCCCTTTAAGTTTGAATTACCGAGATGGGACTGTTTATATTGATGCTGATATTCATCACCATTTGAAAGTTTTCAATTGTATTGATGCTCCATAATTCTGAGCTGTAATTCGCTCACATTGTTGTTCACAGAATCTTATATGTTCATCTTAGCCATGAAAAAATAGCATAGCTTCACATTGGGGTTTTTTACAAGTTCAATGGTATAACATTTATTAAAATTGGCTTACAAAAACATAATGAAAAGTTCCGTAAGGCTAATCAGGCTGGTGAAAAATGTGAAGCTGAGAAAATCACATTTGAAGTTTTGACATTGCTGCAGAAATTTCTAAAAGGAATCTTTAACAATACATTTTATTTAGGTGTTTTCTATCTGTTTCTCTGCTAAACGAAAGAGAAAGTGTCTCATTTCATCCAAGGAATCATTAAAAAAAAGTTTCCAATGTGGAAAGCAAGATCTGAGCCCCACCATGGCAAGGTGTTGAAGTGCAAGGAGGTCTTGAAAGGACCGTGGGGTATGAGAATAAAGCCACTGCTTCCTCGTAAATTAATGGGAACTTGTTTTTTCATTATTAACATTAATTAAGCATCTCCACATTAATCATTAATTAACCACATGGATGTTAGGCAGCATGCTGTTTCGTGTAATGACTCGCTATGAGCTGAGCGTCACTTATGCTCAGCCACATGCAGATGTAGTGTCACAAGACAGTGTAAAGTCGGGGAACTGCATAGATTTCGCGTTTCTCGCAAGCGGGTTTGCAAAATTGCGGCGAAACCAAGCGGACACATCTTCACCCTTAGCTCAGTCGCCTCCGTAAGCGGAACGTGACATGCACTCTCTCTTCCGCTGCTCGCGCAATCATTTTGCAAACGAAGTGGATCGCAATTGAAAAGGTGCCTAATGTACACCAACTCCACCAAACTCTCGTCCAACTGTGCACTTCTAGCCGGCTCCTTCTTGTTCTAAGCTCGCTTTTTACCGCTTCCAAAAGCTCGCCGCAAGGACGGTTTCCCACGAGAGTCTCCGGACATCTCGACCGCGTCAATAAACTACCAGCGTAAAGTGCAAACACAGTGCGTCAAAAACATGCACAAACGCAAATGCAGACATACAGGATCGGACAGGCACAACGAACGCCCTAGAAAAAAAAAAAAATGAGTTGGTCACGCCAGCCAATTGGACACGTGGAACGGGGCCCTCGAAAAGTGCACCTGCCACGTCAGCCAATGGGAGCCTCGATACGGCACACTCAAAATGCGCACTGAGTGAGAGCCAAGTAGCAACTCAGAAACAACCTTAAGAAAAGTCACAACAGCGGCCATTCTTCTTGCACGACGTCATTTCAGATTACGCACAAAAGGAATGGCTTCAAATCTAGCTCAAGATAGCGGTGCTCCGCCTGCCGTAACGCTCATGGTGCACGCGCAAAGTTCAAACAAATTTCGTTTCTGGTGGGGCATTTCACTGCTGCCGGCGTGCTTTGCAGGCATTGTTATCGCATTTATAGACCGAATTTGGCATTAGTAATTTTAGAATAATTGCTCAGAGGTACAAACATCCCAAAAATGAGTTTTGCGGAAAATTTTTTTTTGCCATTTTTGATCATTCTATGACCCGTGTCCCCCCTTCAAGAACTTTAATGGGTCAAAAGTTCCAGGATTTTCATGTGCAACTTACCTTATAATCACATTGTACTTTTGACCCTTGAAGCCCTATTAGTATGATAGGCATAGGTATCTAAAAAAATTTGTCTACGAGATAGTGTCATGTAATTAGTGGTGCTTGCTAGCACTTCATGCTGTCACACTAAGAACAATAATACTTCTGGCTTTCGATACAACGGCTTGAGTACTGCATTCTTTAGTGCAAGGTGCCTGGCACTTCTAAGTTGCACACATGTTGCAGATTATGTCTGATCCACATCACATAATTTAGAGGCCATCTATATTCATCGCTAATTTTTTAAGTGGTAAGTAAATTGACTTTTAAATTGTCATTCAGAAGCAGGCTTCAGGTTAAGGGTTAATGTAATGGTGTTTCTTTGACTGATGTATATCCCTTCTCCTCCTCCTCTTCTTCTTCTCTCTTTTTTGTTCTTTTTTTTCCGACAGGGTTCACCTTGTGTGTGCAGTGGAAGTAAAATGCCAAAAACCTTCATGTGTTGTTTAATTTATGCACACATTAAGGGGCATATTGTAATGGAGGTTTAAGCACATAAAACCTCTCAATTCATTTTACATATTTCAGCGTTATCTGCGTCTTTTCCATAAAACTTTGTACATTGTTCTTCCCACAGTCTTTCAAGCAGATTGAGCATGGTCCACTGGAGTTAGCTGAATGCCGTTTCTGCCAAAACAACACGATGGGCACTCAGTGCGAGGAATGTGTTGAAGGCTACTTTGTCGTTGGCAAGGACATTGCTCGCGGCTGTCGACCGTGAGTATTACCATATCTGTTTCATGTGCATGCAAGGCTGTGTATACATTTTTTAACATTAGTGTTAAAATTTATAGCATGAACATAAGCTTTCACTTTCTCAGTAGTGGTTTATTCTGAAGAGAAAAACAAAAAACTTGTATTGCTACAGATGTGACTTTTCAGTGTCTGCCGCCGTAACATGCAGTAGGGCAGCACAAATGAAAATTAAAGAAGCTGTTAACGAAGACCAGAAAATGTGTCATACCCCAATTGGACATACTCCTGGCCCCTTGAAAAAGGTAAAAATTAGGCAAAAATCATTGCTTGAACTGAGTACAAAGACAGAAAAACCTCAAGTGCCTTGTGTATTTACTAGGCTTGTGCGAATATTCGAACTCGCTTTGAATCGTATTTAAACTGTTCAAAATTTGAAGGTATTCGAAATGAACGAATAGATGTATATTTATATGCATGCAACATCGTGAAGGTGGTTTCTCTGCAGAGGGAATGTTAAGCCATGAAAGCACTTATCCAGGTGTATAAAAATTCGCATGTAATTTACTGTAAAAATGGTTTCACTGCAGTAAAGGAATGCTAAGCTGTAAAAACATCTAAGAGAAGTCAGTACTGCCGCAGAACTAGAAGGTTAAATGAACATATTATCATCATATCGATTCATCCTTTTACAAGTTTCAAAGCTTCTTATACTGGCAGTGATGTAACTGCTGCTCCAAACTGCCCCAAAAGAAAAACGCTGCTACGTGCTGGTCGAAAGTGCAGTAATTGTTAGTAACTGCTCCAAGCCTGCTCCAAGCCTGCTCCAAAATGACGTTGGGGAAACGAAAACCAACAAAGTTAAAGGGCCCGTAAACCACCCGGAGGTCGAAATTCAGTTGTGGTGGGGAAATTATGCTTCAGTGTACGACAAACATGGAGCTGTGAGAATTTTTCGAAACGGTGCAGTAATAGCGGAGTTAGACGCGTTTGATTATCAAAACCGTGCTGACAACACCTTTCACTTTCTTCTGCGCTTCCCTCTGCTGGTATTCTCTCCCACGCTGCTTTGCCTTCTCGGAAGCCCGCGTGGCATACATCGTCGCTGACGCGCTGCTTCAAACACCATCTACTTCTGGGTGTCGCAACTCCGTCTGTCGACTCCGTCAGTTGCGTTGTAGCTGCGTGCTTGTTGGAGAACCGTGGCTGTTGTAATAGTGCCAATATAGACTCTGCATAGCGTGCACGCCTTCAAAGGATCGCCAACGCGATGCACCTGTACGGGGACATGCCGTGCCCAGCACGCGTTGGACGTGTGCGAGCAACACGACGAACAACAAGTAGCGCAGACAGCTGCTTGCAGACTGACCAGAAGTCGTAGGCTCTTGCTCGATTAATCACAGCCTATTTGACATATTTGGCTTGGCACGACATAGATATGGCATGGCGCGTCACACGGAGGCCAGGCCCGGAAAGAAGGAAGAATTGTTTCTTGGAATTTGTAGCGCGCCGGCATTCTGCACACGATGCGCGCGTTTACTTGAAACGCTTGAAAAAATATCGGAGGTGGTTTACGGGTCCTTTAAAGCATGACATAATCCACTGAGCCTAAATGAAATCAAAGACAAACTGTATACCGTCATACAGTATACAACTTGTGTAGTAGCTGTATACTAGAATATTGACAATGTTACATGTACTCGCATTTTTTATATACCGTACTTACTCATGTAATGAACACACGCGCATAATAATGCACCCCCTACATTCATTCACTGCAGTCCTGCTACCCGGCTCCTGGTGCCTCATTGCCCATTGGATCTCTTCCGTTTTTTATTAATATGCCGACCCACCTTGGCTTGCTCTCTCCCCTCCCTTTGCCCACTGCCATGCGCCGTATAGTATTTCTTTCTATCTGTGCGCGGCGCGTACCCAGCCTTTTTTAAATATCTATGCGCCACAGCGGGGTTCACGAACAGTGCGAGTGTAGAGACATCGCAGCTTGCAAGCACACAGCGAGCGAAGGTCCCGAAACTTCCCACGCCAACCAACAGTCGCTTCCTGCAAATAGGAAACCTTAGGGCCCAACCACATGCACATAATTTTCGAGCGATGACAACAAGATTTGGTGTCGCTATGGCTGTTGTGAAGGGCCATTTGTCGCCATTGCGTCGCAGGTTTTTGGAAAACCAGAAAGAAATCGCTTGTCACCCAGAAAAGATTGCGACTATTTCTGCAACATGGTTTTCATTTCTCACTTCAGTGGCAAGCGACGCGGCTGCCGTATTTTGTCGTTAATTTTTCAATCGGCAGTTTGTTTTTATGCTTTCTTGGTAGCTTGCTGCAATGTTGGATGCTTGCTACAAAGTCAAAGGTGTTGTCGTGCGAGGTTGCCACAGAGTTGGCTAAGTACTTCGTGGTGTCATTGCGCACGCTTCTGGGCGCACCTCGAGATCACGGCAAATACTACTGTTACGGTTAAACAATTGAAAGAAAAGATAGCCGCCAAACACTTTTATGGTGTGCACAGGGTGGCGCAGAAACAGCTTGCAGAAGATAGTGCCTTCAACCACCAAAGATGAATTAATTTAAATGCAGCAAAGAAGCTGAGCGACCTAACTTTTTTTTCATCGGCTAGTTTTTTGTTCACACCGAAAAAGTTTTCTTAAAATTTGCCACGCGTAATAAAAACATCCACAACTTTGCTGCGATTTTTCGAGAAAAAAAAGTGTTCATTACGCGAGTAAATATGCTATATATCTGATATAGTTGTATATTTGTACCTTACAAGCAGACTATTTTGGTGAAATCGGTGCGAGACTTCTTAGCCATGCTAGCTACTGCTGTGACAACATATATATGGCTGATTACGTTTAGCACTTTCATCAACTTTGACCTCGTTTATGTCACAAGAGCAAGCATTTCAATTTTTAATTCATTTGGCTTATTTGGATTTTGAAAAGTTAAATGCTGGCTACTTTCGCAAAATCTGAAAACAACACTTGGCGTTCAAAGACCATCCACCTGCCTAATTATGATTCTTGCAATTTGCAGTGATTATTGTATGGGCAATATGTTTAATAATAAGTATTATTATATACAAGAGGCTTTATATGATGCAATAAACTTTGGGAGTTGTTTGGAATATTTTGCTATCTGCTTTTAAAACCACCAATAACTGCTGCAGGCAAGTATTTTTTCTGCTCTAAAAGCAATCAAGGCTGCTCCAAAGCACCATTTTTCATGCTCCAGAATCTGCTGCAAAAATCAAAATGGTACTTCTATCGCTGTTCCGGTGTATGTGCTTCAACTATAGTAAATTTTAAAATGTAACTTATTTTGCAGGTTATCACTTGCACTCTACCTAAAGTCAAATTCTGCTACTGTTGCAAAATGCCAAGCAAACGCCCCCACACGAGCAAACGTCCCCCCCCTCTCCCCCTCCTTTTTTTGGGGAGATCTGAAATAAGCTCCAATGACTGGTTCGGGACCAAGCAAGCAACGGATTACCCTTTACTTTAGGGGGTGCGCTTGCTCGGTATTTTACAGTATTCACGGTTGTTTCCACTTCCCTTGAATCAAAATTAATGGAATTTTCCAAGGCCTGTGCAAATGCCATTCTTTTTTCTTTTATTTTATTTAATATTAAAAAATATATTGTGCAGAGTAGCTGGGTCATGATAAATACACCCATTTTTCTTTATAATGGGCCAAGAAATAAACCGGAGTTGAGACTATCGTAGTTTAAATTGAAAAGAAGAAATGGACATGGGCTGGCCACGTAGCGCATAGGCAGGATAACCGCTGGTCATTAAGGGTAACTCATTAAATTCCCAGAAAAGGCAAGTGCACAAGGGGGAGACAGATAGATAAGGTGTGCTGATAAGAATAAAAAGGTCGCAGGTATAATGTGGCAGCAGAAAGCACAAGACAGGGTTGATTGGCAGAGCATGGGAGAGGCCTTTGCCCTGCAGTGGGCATAGTAAGGTTGATGTTGATGAATATATACTATAAGAATGTGTTTTGATCCTGAAAGTCACTATTCTAACAAGCCTAATATTTACACATATAGTGTACAATAAATTGCTAGTTGGTAGAGTGGTTTTGCTTTCAGCACTGGTTTCATAGGCTATACATGTCACACCGCAATGATTTTCTGTTGTCAGTTATGTTGATGCAGGGTTGGACTTCTTCGATTATTCTTCCCTGACTCTGCCAGACTGCCCAAGACAATCACTTTATTCAATTAATGTTGAGCATGCTGTATAATAAGCAGTTCTAGAGAGTTCGGGACATTATGCTGACAGAACTCATTGACAAAACATAACAGGCCATTCTGCCATTGAGATTTGTCTACCAAGTATCTGTTGACAAGCTGCCTATAGTCAGTATCTGTAGAGTGTCCATGTTAGATATTCTTTGTCAGAGTGCTTTACAGAAAAAAAATTTAGCAGATCTCATTTACCTTGGCAATCAACGTTATGCGAAGCATGCGTAGAAAATAGGGGACCATGTTGTAATTTTTTTATTGAGCGGCACATTATGAAATGATGCTAAATATACAGTAATCTCCCTTTAAGATGTCCAAGGGACCACGATAATTTGTCCGTCTCATCAGGAGTTTGTCGTATCAGAAGTGCCCCCTAAAACCAGATGCTAACATACCAAGTACAGTAAATTCCCGTTCAAGGGAACTCTGTTAAAATGAATTCTTGCTTAAGACGAACAACACGGGAGTGTTTGTTTAGTTTTTCATAAACTCAATGCAAAAAAAATCTGCTCAAACCGAACATCAAAACAGACCTCATCTGTTAAGTTGAACTATCGCACTGACCAACAACGACGGGGATTCTGCGCAATGCACGAGTATTGATCAAGGGACGCATTCAGGCGAAGAAGAGAGAGCAAAATGAAAAACACTTTCTGGCACAAAAACTCAAAGCAAGTCAAAAGCCTTTTGCGACGTGGAGGAAAAAAAACGAAGTAAGTGGAAAAGAAAGGTCTGTGGATAGAGTTGGTATCTCCCTCAGCCCTAGCATGTAGGTAGAGAAAGGGCGGGCTTTATCAGAAAATGAGCAACAAAAAGTGCTCGTCTTTTCCTACTCTCCTTATTTTCTTCAGTTCCCCAACAAAAGTGCAGTGGAAAACGGAAGAACACAAGAGCTTGGCTAGAGGGGAAAATGCAAGGGAAACTCTCTGTAAAACTGTCCGTTGTGCAGAATCTCCATCATTGTCAGTCACTGCGACAGATCGTCGTAGCAGAAGAGGTCTTTTACGTGGTTTGTTTTAAGCAGATTTTTTTTTGCATTGAGTCTGTGGGAAATCAAACAAACACTCTTGTGTTGTTCGCAAGAATTCATCCTAACAGAGTTCGTCTTAACGGGAGTTTACTGTATGTACAAATTTATATTGTGTATGTACAAATTTATAGGTTTATATAACCAGTTGTTTACACTTGCACAACGGTGTCAACTGGAGCATGAGCATCAGAAGAATAGAAGCAATAAACTGATACTATGAAGCGCTGGTGTTCGCAAGGATGGTAGCCCTGCACACTGCTACATTAATCATTTTCAGGGAATGGCACCGAACTACAATTAACATTAACCCGACGTGACAGCTGTATCAACATATGTAATTTTTATAAAATTGTATAGCCAGCAATTCATCCACGATTGATAGTTCGTGAACATTAGGGCCTATTTGAGGAGTACTTTGGAGACCTGGCGTGGCTCTATGCCTTTTTTGCTGTTGTTGTTGTTGATATGACCTTGGGAATGCCTGTACACTTACTCATGTGCCAACAAGCTTTTGATGCATTGTTTAATTCAGAACTTTTGAAATTAGACTTTATATCTGTAGCAGCAAGTGTTGACAGCATTGCTTCTTTCTAATAAACTTATACCACTTGCATGCTTTCTTATGCATACTGAAGTGGCGTTAGGCAGTTATAGTTGCGTGCAGAGCTCTTCAGCGTAACAAACATGCTTGCTTTGCTGTGACACTGCTTTTGGTGGTCACCAGGTGCGAGTGCCATGGCCATGGTGACATCTGTGACCGGCGTACAGGGGAGAACTGCAACTGCAGGAACAACACAGAAAATGATCGCCAGTGTAGCCAGAAGAGTGGCAAAAACAGTGCCATACCTTGCTGGAACCTTCAGGTGCATTTCTTATGTTAATTTATCAGCACTTGCTCTGTCCACGGGTTTAGTTTACTGGTATATTTCACCTGTTTTTGTTTTTCATTTTGGAAGATTGCTGATAGCTTTGTCTGACATTTGAATACAGTTGAATCTTAATACGGCAACTTTGAAGTGGATCATAAACAAGTTTTGTGTGGCAGTTATTCTAAATACAAAATAGTTTCCTTTTCAAGTTCATCTGAAAACTCCACATGCTACAGGCACATCCTTGAAACCTTTAAAAGCAAAAAATCACCAGTTTATTTTTATTTATTTATTTATTTAACAATACTGTAGGTCTTCTGCAGACCCATACAGGAAGCGGGCATACATCATCACAGGTAACCAATTAGATACAAAGTTGAGGAAATACAATAATTTGAGGGATGATACGTACAACAGCGATACACTTACAATAGCGGGTACAACAATACTACATTGGTGCTCTTCCCATACATGAGAAGACGAGAAAAAAAATAATAAAAACCATGTACTACGCATGAATAACAATATATATGTACAAAAGATTACAATGCACCACTGCAAAACACGTTTTTCGTTATCGTAACAACAAAATGTAACTATACTGGCTCTAATAACTGCTCCACAAAAGAACAAAATTCATCAATATTTGTAATATTAACAGCTTCACCTGATAGCGTGTTCCAAGCGTTGACAGCGCGACGGAAAAAGGAATATTTAAGCACATTGCTGTGGGCACTGAAGGGACGTATACATTTATCATGGTTCGTCCTACTAGAACGGCAGCCAGGCGGATGAATATAGTCGTCTTTACAGATTTTAAGGTGACCTTGAAAAAGGAGATAAAAAAACTTCATGGAAGCAACATGACGCCAGCTAGACAGAGTTGCTAGGTGCGCTTGATGACTCATGTCATTTGCACTGTCGCGCCAGGACCATTTTGAGTATATGAACCTCAGGGCCCTGTTCTGCAATTTTTCAAGTTTTTCGCGAAGATAGTTTTGATAAGGGTCCCACACTATACTTCCATATTCTATAATGGGCCTGACCAGCGTTTTGTAGGTGGTTAGTTTAACTGCTTAAGGTGCTTTACTCAATTTTCTACGCAGAAATCCGAGTTGTTTAAATGCCTTGGCGCATGTATTGGTAATGTGCTGTTTTCCATTTTAAATGTTGCGAGAATGTGGAGCCCCAATATTTTACTTTGTCAACTTTGCTAATATTGGAACCATTAAGATTGTACACAAATGACAAAGGCCGTTTTTTCTTGGTTAGACTTATGAACGCGATTTTAGACACATTTATTTCCATTCCCCACATCTCACACCATTGGCAAATGTTTTATAAAGAAGAATTGAGTTTTAATTGGTCATCAATATCGCATATTGTAGTGTAAATGACGCAGTCATCTGCGAAAAGTTGCAATGTTACACCTGGTTCTGGACAAGAAGAGATGTCATTAACGTAAACAAGAAATAATGTTGGCCCCAAAACAGACCCTTGGGGTACACCGGAAAAAACACTGAGGCAGTCATTCTTTTATTTCAGTCAATCTTTTATTTCTCTAAGACAGCGTCAAAGGCCAAAAATTTTAACAATTCATTTTTTTAAATATGTATGTATGCCTAATCACCCAAGAATTAGTTCTCTCTGATTTTGGTATTATTCACCTCATTAAGGACTGTATTGCAGTGAAGTATACAAAAAAACCATCTATCAATGTGAAGTAGTAATAACATAAAGTTTTTATTGCACTAGCCAAGCAAATTTTAAGACACACTACTTGCTAACTACTTCCAGTAAGGGGAATGCAATGTAAAGAGGAAGGGAGATGGTAAGCACACACGCAGCTAAAAGTGAAGGTGCATATCCTCCTCATGCATATTCTCTTCAAGAAAGCCTAGCTGGGTGGAATTCGTTCAGATATAGGTACTTGGAAATGCTTCAAAATGTACAGATTCGGGTACAACTCGTTGGTCAAACTGCCACAAGACAAGTCAGTCTATGCTAGGCAGTGCCCGCGCAGCTCAAAACTAAGTTGTAGTTAACCATGGAAGACCGTGTATGCATATATATATATATATATATATATATATATATATATATATACACCTTTTACACTCGCACTCGCATTTTTTTCAACAAAAAAAAATCGAAGCAATGTTGGGGGTGCCTGCTTATGCTGGCTACGAAAATGCTGTAATGAAAAAAAAAAAAGTTAGATAGCTTAATCGAAAGCTGTATTCACACAACGGACAAAATCGCCATTCGACCCTGGCGATCATGTACTGCGTCACCATACATCACTCATTCCCGCCTCCCCACTTCGGTCCGCGTGGAGTGATTCGTGAAATGACAGAAGCCTAAATCTAGTGTGGATTCTTGTAAGCAATGCTGAAATTCTCGCTTGTAGCGTGAAGTCTCCCCTATCGTGTGAAGGCTGGTTGCAAAAAGATCCGAATCATGTCACGTGACTGATCCGTCCACGATCACGTCCGTCGTGAGTACGCGTACACTGTTTGGAAACAGCTTCTTTATCACGCTTTGATAGTTGATGGCATTACCTTCTGCAAGCTGTCCCCACGCGCTCCATGAAAGCGTTTTGCAGCTTTCTATCTTTTGGGTAACCGCTGCAGTGGTATGTGCTGTGATCACGACAGGTGCCTTGAAGCGTACGCTGCGCATGTTACGACGCACTTTGCAAACTCCACAATGACAACATTGGCATTGCAGTAAGTAACCCACTTGGCAGCATGCTACCACCGTAAGATCAAAACAAACAGTCAATTACAAGATTAGCAACAAAATACAACCGCTGCCTCGTCCTATACGTGTTCCGTTCCTTGAAGTACGTGCAGATAACAAACATGAAGAGTAAATTGCAGCTGAAGCGTGGATCAAGGGCACTACCATGTTACGGAAATTGTCATGGTCTTTTCTGGGTGACTAGCGATTTTTTTCGGCTTTCCAAATACCTGCAACGCGACGGCGACAGATGGCCCTTCGCGACAGTCAATCCTCTAGCGGTCGCTCGGAAATCCCGTGTACAAGATTGGACCTCGAATTGCGTATTTGTGGGAAGCAGTTGTTGATTGGTTCGGGCAGTTATGTGTGTTCATGCTCTCAGTTATGTGTGTTCATGAACACAAATATGTGTGTTGATGCTCTTCTTGTTGCAGTGCTCCAAGTGCAAGGAGAATTTTCAGGGTGTTCCTACCAATGGGCACCAATGCTATCGTCACATGCGTCTTGAGCAGGACTACTGTTTGGATCCAGAGACGCAGGGTGAGCCTATTAAATAACTTTGCCGGTACCCTTGTTCAACTGGTGCCTTTAGCCACTGTCATCAACAAAAGCCATCCGACAGAATCATAGGGCCTTTAGGATTAATACCTGCAAGCGGTAAGCCATGTAGCTATAGTTTAGGTGTGTGGAAATATTCCAGTTTCGAATATCCTTCGAATATTGCATTCATAACAATTGTATTCAATTCGATAAGTACATAATTGAAAGTTTTGAATATTCGAAGCGATTCAAATTTTTTATTATTCTGTCGCATATGTTCTTGTATGAAAGACTTCCGATTTTGCACCTTTACGATAAGTGCATAGACAATAGACCATGCAGGAGCGTGATAATGGCTACCAACAAACGTGCCAATATGTCAGTGCGACAAATATTGAACTATTAACATCTTAAAGGATTACATCATGCACTGCTCGCTCAGCAGTACAAGTTGCTTGGCAGTTTAGTGCTGTTGCCGCCTGTCTAGGCGTACTGTAGTGTATCGAACACGCCGTTCGCTGCCGTGCCTTTGTGAGGGGTACTGCTTTAATAAAGTGTGTACCGCCCGTGGAATTGAAGGCAACTCGCTGCTGCCGCATAATCCCAACAAAATACTCGTCGTACCTTTGCACGGTCCAGTGCCAAGCGATCACGAAAAAAATATATGTCTGTGCAAGGGCAAATGCGTGCGTACGTTACAGCGAGCGGCGATGACAGGAGTGAGCATAGTAGGTGACGCACTGCACGCAACTAGCTAGAGAAGCTCAACTTGATGATGCAGCAGTTAGCATGTATCACATATGTGTAGCTGCGCTTGTTTTCGTTAACTGATCACCGCAAAAACTTGTGCGCATGCATTGACGAAAGCTTGACATGTCGTCCTTCAGCTGTGCCACTCTGTCAGCAATGTGAGCGTGTATTTCTCTGTCATAGTTGCGAAATGATTCGATGATAGCGCACAATCATGCGAATGAGCTAAAGCCTTGTTTCTGTGCAATGGGAAACAAAGAAAAAGCCATGCACTTTCTGTAATATTATAGGGGCGTCATCCCATACATTTCTCTGTTGCTAATGGCGGCGCACGTAAGCTGACGGAAAGTTTAGGCAGCTACTGCATACTTCGGCTGCGTTCCCGGCAGCGCCTTTGTAAATATGTTGTACACGTATCACCTTTCTCTATGCGCACGCCTCCTGCAATTTATCCTCCGGAACTTCGTTGCTGCAATCTCACTGTTTTGTATAACATCAGTTTATGCAGCCAGTGCACAGAAGGCAGTCGCAATGCGGCGAAATATAGGGCCTTCGCCGCTGGGAGTGGTGGCTCTATTAAAAAAAAAAAAGCATATTTGGGGCATTTTTCTGTCACACACAAGTATTCAAGCTATCTCGCGTGCCTTCCTTGGGTTATCACCACGCATCCGGTGCCCCTTGTTAACAATCATGCAGCTATCAGTATGACAGAGCACTCTTGGTAGGAAAATGATGAACGCATAGTTCTCGAGAAAGGGAACGAAAGCTAGCCAGATATTGAGTATTGCTGTGTAGTTTAAGGACACTCGAAGTACTCTTGTCTTGAAGAACAGGGGTGAAAATTAAAAAGAAAACGATAAAATCTGGAATCGTACGTGTCACACCCGATAGTGTGGGAACACGGATAAATTGTAACTACCTTGGGTGCTTTAATAATCGCTCAGATTTAATGCCAAACATCATACGCGCGAAAATGCACTATGAGTGACAAAACAGGGTGTACGCACGACGTGTCGCGTGGTCATTTTCATGCGATTGCTCGATTTTTCAGATTTGGTAACCGTCGCTCATCACCTGGAAGCGCTGTGCTCAAAGCAATGAAACAGGATGTGCATGTCGTACTACCGGTTCTCTCCATGTACCGCGAAACCACGACTTCCTCTCTTCCCGAGTCACGGGGGCAAAACAAAAAAATAGCGTAATGTTTATGCGCGAGCGTACAAAAAAGTGTTGCAAGGCAATAATAAACACCTTCGGTAATATTATGCAACGGCACATTTTATTTTTACATGGTATACCACCGACTACGTGGCATTTTTGGTACGAGTAGGCATCCCCATGCCAGCAACAATAGGTTTCACTCATCGAAGTCGTCCTGTAAATGAGGTTTGCCTGTGCAAGCTACTGTTCACCCGAAGGCAACTGTTCGCGCAAAGACATTCGGTATTATGGGGTTTGGCCTTTAAGCACATGGGTGTTAATTGTTACATTTCATCTCTTCGAAATGGAGCTCCTTTGGAAATCAAACCAGCTGACTTGAATTCACTAGTCATCATGGCAGGTAGAAAATCTTTCTTTTTCTTTTTTGAAGGGCCATATAGCAGCTTGAGGAGGCTTTGGCGAAGCAACGGAGAAAAGGAGCCGATGATCCGTCTAACGGGCATGGAGGCACCCGAGTAACTGTCGCCTAGTCGGAGCACAACATCCTCGAGGTCTATGCTCTGAGATTATCGGACTCTAATAGCCGTAATCTTAAGATAGGGAACATCCGCACCCTGTGAGGCCGAGGACTTCCTACACGCCGGATGTATAAATAAATGTTATTTCTCTCTTTCTCTTTTTTTTTTGAAATGAAGAACTATTAGATAGGAAAAAAAAAGATGGAAAAAAGTTCACTCAACATGTGAATAGGAACCAAAACAACACAGTCACAAGTTAAACTATTTAGCACAGTCATATGTTTTTTGGCAAGCAGATTTGGCGGCAATATTTTTCTTCGTGCAGAAACAGACTAGAATAGCTAACAAGTGTACTATTTTATACATTAATATAAATGGTAAAGTACAGATTACTGGTTTAAAAAATTGGCCCCGTATCTGCATGTTTGACTGCAAACGTCGTATAAAGACGATAGTGTCTTCCGTGTGGAGAGAGTGAACAAAACGTGTATTGATGTTCTGCACGAGAAAATCGGTGAATTGTGTTCTGGAAGCACTGCGTTGGAGAGTCTCGATTCGTGGAGCGAAGGCGAACGTGCTCATCGAGGCACGTTAGACACGAGCGCTATCTGGCAGTTATCTTCGAAAAAGAAGGAAGGCGTGCGCGCCGGCGGAGAGGTGCGCGCCTGGCTCGGAGACAATAAAGTGTAGAACGCATAGCAATGGGCATGTGCCACTACCGTATCGTCTTAGCAAAGTGTTGGAAACACTTGCCTTTCTGAGTATCTCGTTGCGCTGTCAGCGCAGCGTGATAAATGCTCCGGTCCTTAGAATTACTTGTGTGTGCCTTCTCTGGTATAAAGACACGCATAAAAAACATTGACGTGTTGCTATGGTGCCTCAGATATGCACAATAAGTGCTTTTTAATTGACAATCGGACACAAGTATGAACACTGAAACTTCGGCAATATTGGTGGGCGCTGCGGATGGAGTTGGCCATTTGAGGTATTGTTTAGTGCCGTTTGGAGTATTGTTACCATGTACAACCAGACAAAGTACAGACAGACAGACAGACCAAAATTATGGCATCGAAGGTCCTCAGTCTTTAAAAATTCGATCTCTTCATTATTTTTTTTGTATTCGAAGCTGTGTATTTGTATTCAATTTGTATTAGAAAAATTTCATATTTGCGCATTCTTAGTGAGTGTCCATTTTCTGTTTCAATGCTGTGCTAATATACATCAACTGCAATCAAGACCTAAAGTACTTTATGACACAGAGTGATAGTCAGCGAAAGGACAACATGAGTGTTGGCATGGCACACCTGAAAACTCAATTGTATTTTCTCCCTCTCTCTCTCTTTCTCCTTTTTTTTTCCTGAAGCTCAGTAGAATCTTGTTTACAAGTTCTTCACTTATACATTTTCATTTCCCAGAGTCTAGTGTGTCTGGCATCCTGTCCCAGCAAAGAATTTACATGCACCTATGTATTAGAATTTCTTTTTCACATGATATTCCTACAACATTTCTGCCTGATACATACCGCAAACTGTCACTGTGCTAGATGTGCTGAGAACTTAAGCCGATGAGTTTGGCAATGTGGGCTGCCATGAGGCCATCCAAGTGCTTGAAACAGGTCTAGTTCTGGTAGAGGTTTGGAATAAATGCAAGACTTCTATCAAAGACTTCTTTGTGCCATAAACTGGTGAATAAATTCTCCTGAGATAGAGCAGTGTCAAATGCATGTGTTATCATTTAGAAGCACTTTTTAACAATTTGATGACAAGCTCTCATTTTAGGTTTTCTGGCTACTTCAGCTATTTGAAGGAGGGGGGGTGTGCAAAAAAAAAAAAAAAATACTTTTCTCATTTGAAGGACTTGCACAGATACATTCCATGAGCATTCTAGTATAGAAAGTTCAAGTTATCTTCACATAGATACTTGTGGCCTCCTAGTTGCATTGTGCTCTTTCCTATGCTTTTTAAAGGGCAAGTTTTGTTTTTAATTACGGTCGATCACGGATACATTGAACTCGAAGGGGATCAAGAATAAAAATTTGATATAAAAAAATAGAAGCCCCGTGATATTACCTGTAGTGGATCATCACCTACAATAGGTAGGGGCATTCAAGAATGACAACTAATTCTGCACACACGCCACAAGAGGATGATTTGCTTATGTCAAAGCGCACTGTCCAGCTCATGCGGTGTTCAATATATCTGAAGGTGGGTAAAAATACCGTTCAATATAAACATGCGAAATTTTTATACTTTTACAAATGAATTTCAAGGGGATAACTTGCGAGTTCGATATACCCGAAAATTCTATATATGTGGGTTCAATATAACCGTGTTCGACTATACATATTTTTTTTGTTTTTCATTGCTTTGACAAGTTTAGTTTCTTTAAAATTATGACAAAAAAAAAGTCAAGATTCTAGTCAAACTCGAAGTAGATTGAAATTGCTTTTAAATAGCTCAAGGTGGGTATTAAAAACTAAAAAGAAGTCATTGTCCTGAGTCCCCAGAAAATTGTCATCTAGTTGCTTCCCAGTGCATTACGCCTGAGGAGTTCACCAAAGCCACATGCTAAAGATAACTATAAATCCCAAGCTCTCATAATAAAAATAATAATTTTAAAATGCATTTTTTTGCCACATAAATGAGCTTTTATTTCTACTCATAAAGGTGTGTTTTTCTCTAGATGCCATTTTGGGAAACTTCTTGAGTTTGGACATAATCTTTTTGGTACTTTTGATTGCCAGATCAGGATGAAATTTTTTCCATATATTCCTTAGCATGTGGAGAGAACAGTTATCCCCTTTAAAATCTGATACCACATACATAATTATTATGAACTTAGAGGGAGGGGTGGTTTCATCAAATTTTAAGTCTGTAGCAAGCCTCTTGTGGGTTTTCTGTTTATGCAAGGATGAATGGTCGGACAAAGAAAACGTTTAGAAAATATATTTTCACTTCCCAAGTGTATCTAAATGTTCATTCTCCCAATAGAGGCCCACCGCTAAAGCGTATAACACTGATGTAGCTTTATAGAAGGGTCAGCAAAAGTTGTAGTGACGTCACACCAGATCTGTAGTGAGCATAGATTTGTTCAGGGTCCTCCTTCAGGGGGGACAAAGGTTAATCATAGTGCTCCTTTCTCTATTATGTCAATCAATAGGGCTGACTTTGCTCCCACCCCCTCTTAGGTGAGTAGGGGAGCGGCCGCCCTCCTTCATTCCCCTTGTGTGCATATGGTAGTGAAGTGAGTGACTTCCGCGACATAGGTACGGGGAAAGCATCCCGGCTGCTGCAGCTAGCCATGGTAACTGCCGGCATGTTTGTTTTCCAGGTGTTTTTGTGGCATGTGTGTGCGAGAGGAGATGATATCCAGCACAACGTGCATCACAGCTTTGTGTGCTCACGTGACCGAGCCACCTGCCCAGAAACCGAAACTGAAAACTGTCCCCATAAATAAGACAATATTAAATAACTGAAAAGTGCCGGTCTGAGCCAGGACCAGGACTTTTCGATGCCCTGTTTTGAGTTCTTCAATAATTTCTCTTCATGATGCCACCTCCATGCGCTCCAGTTATACTAAGTTTGGTAGAGGAGCCACTTTGGAAAAGCACTGGTCCTGAGTTGGAACCCCAAACCAGGATGAATTCTTTGTCATCAAGGAAGCTTTTTTTCTGATAAGTTCTCTTGCTAGTTTTTTGGAATTTCCCTGATATTTGCATACTTTGTGCCTTATGCATTTGTGCTGTAGTTATTGTTGTGCATGCCTTATGCAGGAAATTAGCTGTCAATACAGCAATCTAGACTAAAAAAGCTGTATTGAAGCATTAAGGAATGTTGCTTTCTGTTTCTTCTCTCTTGTTCTTTAAAATTTTATGCTAAGTGTCAGACATTTTCTCCATTTCTATGAAGTCTGTATGTATAAGACATTACTAATATATATATATATATATATACTGAAGCAGCTTTTCCAATGGGCCAAACGTACTTGGGAAGCGAAGAAACAGAACTTAGCGGCTGTCTTAATTTTATTACCTACGGTTTCGAACGATATATATATATATATTATATGCTGATAGGCTAGTTCATGTGCCATCATATTGATAAAACAGTGCTCAAAGGACACATCTACTCACACATGAAGAAGACACAAAGAATGAGACTTTATAATATCCGTTGCTTATATGAAAAGACATGTATGATTCTCATACCAGCAGGGCTCAACCAACGAAGATCAAACACTTCTTAGTACTTTCATAACTGTTGGCATGGCAGTTGTTTTCTGAGTTGCCAAGTGTTATGAGGTGTTTATGTGAGGCCTTTGACCTTATTTTTTTCACACAGCTCGGATGCCAGACCACTAAGATCATACTTCACTCTTTCTTGCAGAGTGCAGTCCTGACCCAAATCTGCTGCCTCAGGGTCGCACCATGTTTTTTGTTGTTCAGCCTCGCTACATGAACGTGGACATTCGTGTCATCATGGACATCACCTCAGGGGCAGCTGATTTGTATCTATCAGCTAAAGAAGACACTTTTGTCGTTGAGGTCAATCACACGACTGGTGCACATGTAGTATCAGTTGATCGGAAGTATGGTGTCGGCTTAACTGGAGACTTGACTGCAAACACATCATTTCCAGCGGCAGCTGCCCTCCGTAATGCTACTGACGCTCCTTGGCTTCTGCAACCTCGCCATGCCACTCCATCAGGACTAGCCACCTACGTCACTGTGAGGGACCCACGGGAATTCCTATTGGTTCGCAATCTTCAGCACCGTCTTGTTGTAACTGTGCCTCAGAATGTGTACGACTTAAGAAGCACAAGGCTCTACCTAGTTATCTCGGGTGCAAGTGAAGTACCTACACGTGGAAGTCTTTTTTTTCGTCAGGACCAGACACGCATCGATCTTTTTGTTTTCTTTTCTGTATTCTTCTCCTGCTTCTTTCTATTCCTGGCAGCCTGTGTTGTGGTGTGGAAGGTGAAGCGGGCTTTTGACATTCGCCGAGCTCGCCGTTTGCATGCGGCACAAATGGAGCACATGGCACGGCGGCCATTTGCGAAGGTGTGCCTGTCCATTCTGGACGAAGAGGAAAGTGGCGAAAGCTTTCGGTCACCATTACGTAAAAAACCTCAACGTCGCGCCCTCAGGGATTCGCCTAAGAGTGTACCAGTGCCTTGTGGATCAGTACGGCCAGTTGCCGTGGAGCCCACTGGCGATGGTGCAGCTGCAGTGACTACATTATTGGTGCAACTTCCCGGGGGCTTGAGTGCACCAGTACGGCTTGCGCTTGCCTCTGCATTAGTGGCTGTGCGTTCTAGTAGCGGAGGTGCAGCAGGTGGCATCCGGGCGGCCATGAGACGAAGAACAAGCCACATAAACTTGTGATATTGGACATACTGTTATGTTTTTTTTATTAGGGAACTGTTCTGAACTCATCTGGCTGGATAGTAGTGGTGCAGTTAGTGCTGGCAATGTTGCAGCCAGAACTTTAAATTCAACCCAAGTGTGCACTGTGGCTGTTGTGACTAGTGCCAGCTCTTTCACATACCTGCTTTGTCTTTAAAGAGACCATCAAGGGACATCTTTCTACAGAGTGGTGTTTAAAAAGATGATCCTAGATCTTGAGCGACACTTTTGGGCCTAGACTGCCAGCAGGTAATTTCTGCGTTGTATATTTGCCCCAACTGCAGGATGAAGTCATAGAATGGCACTGCGCTACCAAATGCACACCTACAAGGCAACCACTCAACATTTGCAATGTTCCTGTACACCAAATACAGAGACGTAACATATTATTTCCCATTCTGTATAAACATGACTTGGTATTGCTGCAAATCTTAAATCTTACTCAGTTCACCAATGACACCAGAAGTCATAACAGCAGTGCCTGAGCTGCAGTCTTGTGCTTGGACCTCAAGTATAAGAAGTCATGTGCTCATTTTCTTTGCCATATCTTAGTTATATCTTATAGTTGCTTCATGCACATTCAGGCCACAATACACTATACAGTTAAACCTGAATATAACGAAATTGATGAATTCCCCGGAAAAATGTGTTATAAAGAGGGTTTTGTTATATGCAGGTTCGGTACAAAAATTTGGAAAATAAACGCTCACTTAAAAGAAAAGGGGGACTGAAGGCAGAGCTAACCCAAAACACTTAAGCGGGTTTCAGCCGTCATCGCCATATTTCTTAACATGTCCACATTGATAACATGCCCCCCCCCCCCCCCCCCCCGCATCGTAACTTTCACGAGCGCGTAAAAGCATGCGAGCGCTGTTGAAGCAGAGATCAAATGAGTCTGAGCATCCCTACATCGCCTGGAAAATGCATAACATCTCCCACGTGTTAGAACTGCCGTCGAATTCTCAAACAGAAAGTAAACCACCCATCTTGAATGAGCATGAAACAACGCGGGGAGGAGGGAAAGGATTGCTCGAGTAGCATTAAGGGCCGTCGCGATCGCTGGTGTACTTGCTATCTCAGCGGGTATCAGTGGTTTTAATGGGAAGGGACTGCATTAAAAGAGCACTCCTCCCAGGAGCAGACGTATTTGCTCACACCAGCACTTTGTAGGAGTTTTGTAGATCAGCGTCTAATCTGACATCCTCTCCGTGGTGACGACACCGCTGTCCGAAATTAAGAAAAGTCACAGTTCCGCTGCAAGGGCGAAGCAACGAATGTGATAGCAACAACTTGTAATGTAATGCTCAGAATGGCAAGGAGATCAAAACGTGCAGCACGCTGCTCATGCACAAATGATACACGAAAACAGCACACACGGGACCAGAGCGAACTGAGAAAGTTTACTGCTCAACGCTTAACGCGCTATTTAAACAAAAACGAGGCACGAAACATAATCACAGATACAGATATGAGTCCGAACTAACAAATGCCCCAGTTAGTACTTTACTGTGTTTGAAAAGCGCACTCTTTTCGCAAACGGCACCTGTCCTGTCAGCGAAGTGATCTTTCTGCGCCTGGCAACTAAACGCAATCGTTCCGGTCAAAGTCGGAGGTGTGCGTTTCTCCTCACCGAAGGATAAGCGCGCGTCGGCGCATCGTGACGAGTTGGCCACTGAGGGTGGGCGGCTTTTTTTTTGTTTGTTTCTTGAGTTTTCATTTATATAGTTACGTATACATATACGGTGAATGGTGGCTGCTGCAGCAAAAAACCAGCCGAGACGGCCCATATAATGGCTATCGCAATAAAAAAAAAAAGCAAAGCTGAGCGTCGTAGGGGGCCACACAATGCGCATGCAGTGAAACAATGCATGTGCGCACGGCATCGAAAGCGAAGAGCTAAGACACAGACACGGATACCGCAGAAAACTATTCGGTAAAGTGTCCTCGATATGCAGCGCAGCCCTTGTGACGATAACTAAAACTGTGGCAATGCCAACGCGCAAAATAAGATTCTTTTTATTATTTAGGTATGGAGTAGGGGGGAGGGGGGAGAAGAAGGGCTATTCGCGCATCTGCCCGCGGCGGCGAGAACCGCAGCAATGCAGGCTTGTGGGGTGCAGGCCCGCCTGCCCGCTTTGCGCTCACCCGTGCACAATAACAAGCGTTGGCGCTCGCCTAGTGCGCCGTTCACGCCGCCTCCGCTTTGCGCTTCGTCGGTAGCGGGGCAGCCGCGAAAGATGCAAGCTCGTACCAAAATGCCAAAATGCGGAGCAAAATTCCTAGTTTGTCAGTGGGGAAAATTCTTTATATCAAGGATATCTGCCTATGTTATTTTGTTACATAGAGGTCACAAATAGATGTGCTTCTATGGAGCAACGGCGGGGAAGAGAAAAACTTTGTTATATCGAGGAATTCGTTATAGGGAGGTTCGTTATAGGCAGGTTTAACTGTATATATTTACTCATGTTTTCATTTTCTTGTGTGACAGACGTAGTCTAAAATCAATTTCGACGTATCTGTCACATGTCATTGAATGTTCAGTGACTTATCACTTTATACTTGCATACTTCATGATAACTGACCTTTGTGGGATGTATGTGCTTGATCTTATGTGTAGTTGTGTCTGTAGCTTACAAAAGTAAGCTTTGATCAACTAAAGGATCAACTATTTGAAGGCCGTCTTCAAATAGCCATCATTCTTTCACTAAGCTCATGCGCGAGCGTTGAACTTTACTCTGGCATACTTTGTTTGGCGACAGTTTTGTTTAATGCTTGTCAGTAACCAAAACGTAATGTTATCTGTTCTGATCATTCCTGAGGAAGGTTCAGTTGGCGGAATGGTGTTGCTGCAGAACTTACGTGGGCATGTGTTGCATGCAGTATTCGGTTTGTCGACTTTTGCGAAGTCATTTCATTTATTCTCTTTTTCATAACAAAGTATACACAGGTGCTTAGCCAATACATGGAAAGCAAATGGAGCTGTCACCAAGAATAGTGTTTTACTGCCTTTGCAGGGAAGCTTTCGTCATAAACTTATTTATATTGACTTTCAAGATAGGCTTATCTTTCACAAAGTTACTGTAGCTCATTATTTTTGTATGTTGTAAAGTGGCTTCAGGATAAACAATAAGTTAACTGCTTTTTTTTTTTACTGTAACACCATAATGGCATGTACCATTGTTGGCCTATATGAAGTAAACAAGTCTGATGTTCCCAGTTTCAAGAATCTCTTTTACAAATCGAGTGCATCTGAAACATAAATTGATGAAAGATACCAAAAAAATCTTTACAAATACCACCATCCTTCATTCCAGACATCAATAATTTAGCATAAATCAAGCTGGTTGTCAAGGATCTGTGATAACTGCTGTATTAATATACACAATCTTTGGGTGATGGGTTATTGCACACAAAGTTGTTAAGAAAGTTAAATGAATACCTGCTACTGCTTCCTTCAGTGATCTGGGAAACAACTTTCCTGAGATAGTGCTTACCATTTTCGTATTGATTTTTCATCACATACAGAACTGAAAGCGCTGTCATAAAGTTTTCCAACATACTTCCTGCAAACTTGCTTATGTGACAATCAAATACAAATAATGCTGTCTGCTGTTTTGATTCTTCTATATTGCATTGTCATCCTTTGGTGGATGCTAGTATGGGTAGCACAAATTCAACAACATTGAATACAATTATGAGGCATCTTCAGTGCACAGTCTTGAAGCCTAAGAGCACTTATTGTGATTACTATGGTAGTATGCTATTTGAAATCAGGAACATCATTTTGGCTTACCTTGATGTTGCAGCAATTACCCACCTTTCCTGCAATCTTGGTAGTGTTAGATTTCTGATTACATTATTTAATTCTCACATACAGCTTCTCTGGTTATTGTTTTTTTTTTTATATTTGAAAAGAGAAAAGCTGTTGCTCTTTAGTTTCGTGTGCTGACTACACTGCCAAGATCCCCAAATAAAAATTCTGTGTCTCTGAGACCACATTGTTTACAACCCATACTAATATAAACTGTATGCAATATGTAATGGCCTAGTGCATAGCACCCAGCGCTGGCTTAGGGTGGCCAGCCAGTCCGAGAACTGGCCAACTTATCTGTCGTCCTGTTTTTTGCTTCCTCCTCCTCCTAGCTTAGGGCATGTGGGACTCTTTCCGAGTAACTTCCTGTGCGAGATGAATGCTTACTAAGACAAGAGTAAAGCTGAGTTCTGTACTTGTCTGACTTGTACATTTTACCTTAGATGATCGAGTTCATTGGGTATGATGTACAACTGGAGCATGAAGTAGTCATTTTTCTTCCCGATTGCATTTACCCTTAAGCCAATAGAAATACAGCCATGTAGGTGGTATGCTCATAAGTCATGCACTCATGTGGTTTCACATGAATATATCATATATATGGCACCTGGTAAAAAAAAGGCATCTGAAACGAACTGGGCCTACTGACAGCATAGAATTCTAAAGAAACCGTGGACAACTCGAGCCTCACCATCTCCGTGTAAAGGTTTATGACAACATTATAAAAGTATTATAAAATTTTTCCACAGTAGCAAACAGTCAACAACTAGGCAAGCATTACATACACTATCCTGTACCACTCTGCACAAATGAAATGTTATTGATGTTATATGGTGCATCATTTCGAGAGGTTGCTTGTGCTTGTCGTGAATGCAGTGGTAGCATTGAGCCTGTGACGTGCCGCGAGCTCACAGAAGTTTGTTGTCACATAAGTGAAGAACCACATTGAATGCAGTTCCACCGCTGTGCTGTTTTTTTGCACTACTTTCAAGTGACGAGAGTGCAATTCCTTGTTTTTAAGTATCACTATTGTTTTGTGCATTTCTATTTTTGTGCAATTAACATGGAAGACAGTTAAACCTGTATGCTATCTCCTTTCAGCTGGGTCAGTGCAAATGCTTTAGCTGCGATGTGGATATTGTTTTCATTGTTTGAATGTTATTCCATTAATTTTGTTCTTCCTTAAAACGAGCTGTGTACATGTATTTTGTTTTATTATTATTTTTTAAAGCTTGTGTCATGGCTCAAAACAGCTATAGTTCCTAGTGCGATGCTTTTTTCAGCACATTTACAATGTCAGAATAGTTCTGACTTTTGTTGTGACAAGGTCTCATATTTTCTCGTGTGTGTTGCTATTTACATTGCAGTGCCAAAAAACTCTGTACTTCATGTATGCTGTGTTGTGTTGTAATGTTTCTTTTTAAGACTGTCACATTTTTATCGCTGAAACCAAACTGGGCAGAATAACAATATCTCAAGAGTGGGAAGACACTGCTGTGGAAGAGCTTGCTTTTGTATTCACTTCTGCTTCAACATAAGCAAACCATCATATTAATCTCACTGCTGATTGCATGACATAGCATTGTGGCATAACCCGTGACAGGCATGTTTTGACCCTTTGTACTGTCATGTCAATGGCATTCTAATCTTGGCTGTGAGAAGCATGTCATCTGGTACCGCCGTAGAAACTTCAGGCCATTATATATTGTATAATATTTGTGTCAGATCATTTACACATTTGTTTATATTTGTTAACCTAAACGTCGGATATCTGCAAGATCTGTCTGTAGAATGGGGATTGTATTTTCATGACCTATACTTTCGACTGTATAAGCATATGTTTAGAAGTAAACAAAACATGCATAAGGCATCAACAGGAGACTAAAGAAGCATTGCATGTGTTTCATCATAGCTGATCGCTGAAAGTGTGTGCTTTTGTTTGTAAAGTTTGTTACACAGTACTGTAAGAAGATTTATATTCAATTTCAAGTGCAGATGTCTTAAATCTACTTCTATGATCTGAGAGTTGAAAGTGTGTAGTTTTGTTTGTAAAGTTTGTTACACAGTACTGTAAGGAGATTTATATTCAATTTCAAGTGCAGATGTCTTAAATCTACTTCTATGATCTGAGAGTTTGTGCAACCTTGATATATGCCTTTCCTTAAAATACACTACAACATAAGCACCATACACTAATGAAACATGCAAAACTGTAGGCGTGCTTAGGCATCAGAAATACTGTCATAGCTCTTTAGAGGGTCTAAAGGTTTTAGAGTACCACTCGGTGGAACATCTTGTTTAAACCTCATAGTGGTATAGGGTGGCCGATACCACAGCACTCGGGGATCGGAATAAAACTGCCTGAAAGACATCATTACTATTTTGAATTTGCTTAACTCGGAGACAAATGAATCATCATAGTCAACTTGTATGATAATATGTATGAAAATTGTCATTATCGCCCAAGCTCAAGTCCTGAAACATGCAGTGACTGAGCACAAAATAACTGAGCAATAATTTACAACATATTGTTTGCAAACATAGGACATGTTTTATCTAGGAGAATTTAATGCAAAACATCTAAGAAGTTTGACATTCATGATGTTACAAGGTCTTGGTATCATGCAGCCCTCATAATTGCAGACATCTGTAGAATTTATTTTTCACTTGGCATAGACAAATTTTTTTTTTCTGCAATATCACTGTGTTTTTGTACCCTCAAGAAATCTGGTGCATGAGTGGCAATGTAAGTTAGAAAAATGTGCTGCAAATTGCAAATATTTTATTGCTTTTCGTATGACATCATATCTAAGATTAGTTTTGTTCAATCAGACTAGGTGATTACTTCATATATATTTTTTTAAACGTGCAAAAAACTTGTGCTTGTTGCAAGTTTTGCCATTTCACCTGCAAGATATACTGTACAACAATAGTAGTAGAGCACCAAATGTGCTCAGGATTGGGAAACAACATTTGAATAGCAGTCTGAATTGTCTAACTTTGCTAATAAAGTAACTCATGTTCACATACTTTCTGAAATGGCATATAGAATAAAAGTTTTATGTCAATTATTCCTAGAACAAATACATCCAATGTTAGCATGATCTTATGTGTAACTTTTGTTTTAAAAATTTTAAAGTGGCTTAATTATGAAATATCACAGAGTCACTTAGCATTGGCGAAGTGCAAGTCAAGCTAGTTGAACAATTCGTCGTATTCGGGAGTCAGTGCCACACTATACAACTTTCCTTCTCATAGTGCACATTTGAGCAGCTGCTCGGTAGTGTTAGTTCCATTTGCATTGTTTAAATATTTATGTAATTTGCTGAGCATTAGAGTAGATTTTTTGCGGAGTTCAATCGGGCAGTCTGCACTCGTACTGCAGGTGATTGCGATGGATCGGCTTCATTGTAAAATATGTGCCACTTGTACATATTACCTCTACTGTTTGCACATTTTGCTGCACAATACTCTCCGTCCTCGAAATGACTTATTACCAGGTAAGGCTGATTGTAAATCATCAGATAAAAGAAAGTGAAATTTTTAGGACCATTTAAGGAGCTGAAATATATGCAGCATGCCGTGGCAAAGGATCAATTATTTTCCCAGTTTTCATACAAAGGTGACGTCTTGTCAAGTTGATTAGGGAAAATGTAACTGAGCGTAAGGAAAATATATTTTTTCCAGTTGCATGAATGCTGTTAATGTAGCAGCGTGGCAGGAGCCGAATGCAACACACAAGAATCTCGCAGTGAACATCTGAAAGTAGAAGGAATAAAGAGAGATAATAAACCTCGTCTGCATTTGTTCTGATTTCATTGGTAATTGGCATCCTCTATTCTGTGGAAAACTGAAATAGTTGAGGATAAAGTGTTGTGTGTGTGACTAACCTGAGTAGTTGTGATATATGGGAAGAGGGTGATGTCGGGCTCATGGATGGTTGCCTTGGTGGACTTGAGGCATGAATCTAGGCGACTATGTGTCAAGTTCATGCCACCTTTATAGTAGAAAATGTGTCAAGCAAGACTTGTGCGCAAATAATTGTTTAGTGACAGCATGATAAAGCCATTTTGTGCAGTTTTAGTTACTACAGGCAAACCCTTCATGAGAGACATTCATATAAGAGACATGTGGATATAATAGACACCAGTGTGCCTCCATTAAAATTTGAGATGATAGGAAAATGCACGCATGGTACCTTGCCTTATAAGAGACACCTCATATAAAAGACAGTCATTGCTCAATGCATGCTTCTTATTAAGCGGTTCAGCTGTATCATGGCAGGCAAAGTGCTCTACTATCTAGATTCCTGTGGATGTGTAAGTGCCAAGCTCTACAAGAAAAGGCACGCCTGAGGCTGTTTGTGGTTCCTTCCCCTCAAGGCTCCAGCGATTTCTGCTTGCAAACACATCTGCTACACTTCACATAGCAAAGCTCATGTATTTTTAATGAACGAACCATGGCACACATGAACAGTTATCCTAATTGTGGGGCTAGACATTAAGTTTTTTCAATGCTTTTCCCCAATAGTTTTCAGGCTAGCAAGCGCTGCTGCGCATTGAGCACAGGCAACGCCTTCAGACTTCCCGTGCCTGCCGGATTATCGGCGTTCACTTGAGAAGCGGCAGTCGTCAGAACTACGGTGGTGTTGTCACTCAGGTAGGGGTGTCTTTAAATAGGTTTTGATGTTTTTGGAGCTAATATGCAACAAAATTAACGATAAAAAGTTTTTAAGAGGCGTAAGCGTAACTATAATAACCCTACATAAGTGATGCCGTCATTTAGAAAGCAACTTTTTCAATACAAAGCATCCTCTAAAATTAGTAGCAAACTCCAAAATTGCCGATCTCAAAGGCCAAGTACAAAGACCCTTATCCCTACGTAGGCAGCGCCGCCATAGATGACCGGCGTTTCGCGCTCATCCGGTGGGCACAGGAAATCTAGGAGGCGTTGGCACAGGCGACCTGATCCATAGTCATATTGCCATCGTCATTGCGGTCATGAAAGCGTGCCCGCGCCTTTCTAACGCCATAGCAACTGCGCCTTCGACATGAAATTTTGCTCGGGTATTTATTATTTGAAGTTTAGAAACTGTTGAAACCTCTAGCAAAAGAGCAGCCCCAACTGTCCAGTGAAGCCATGTTGCCATTGACCAATGTCGCTGAGCCTGACTGAGCGTCTAAGCAGCCAAGAATCAAGCGCCGGTGTGAAGGGAACTGTTGCAACCGCTGAGTGGTGTGATTGGAGCATATCACCATGTCTACGCTAGAATACCGAGACTCTCCGCACCGTTCACCGCAGGAAACACTTTACGAGTACTGCTGGTGCCGCAATGTTACCAAGGAAGTGCGCAGTCTGAAAATCGCATGCTGCGACGCGCTTGTTCGAGATGCCGGTGTCCTGCTTCGCGTCCTGCCAACCCTGCCAGTCACTTTCATCCCCACTCTTCTTGCGAGAGCCGTGGAAGATGGTCGGGACAGAGCCGCGCAACTTCTGGTCTCCTTCTGGCCCCATAGCACGCTCGATCTTCCGGCTGTTGTCGGTGGAACGTGTCCTATAATTCACCACCCGAAGCGCGTGCTCGCCACAACAGCTGTCGTGCGTGCATTTGTAGAACTTTCGCTGAAAGGAGACTGCGATAATCTGTGCACTCTTAACGTCACAGGTTTCCAGATTGGTCCTGGGCTGTTGGAGTTCGTTGAGCGTAAGATGGCTGTATTTTCTAAGAAGGATACTTGGACCAGCCCGCGCCATCTAATATGTGACTTCTTCATTGGTGAACCGCACTCGTTTGACGTTTTCACCTCCCTTTTGCAGCACCGACTGAGCAAGAAAGTGCTGCTGTTTGAAATCCGCAACCTCGAGGTCGAAGGCGTCGGTGAAACAAGGCTGCTGCAGCTCCTCGAAATGCTCGACTCAGACGCGCTCACCGGACTCAGCGTGGCGTACAACTCTCTGCAGAATCAAGGTTTGCTGCGGATTTCAGAACAGCTTCGGCGCTTCCGTGGGCTCGTCGCACTCGATCTGTCGTCCAACGGCGTACGCCGAGGAGACGTAAGGCACTACGACTACCTTTCGGACACCATTCGTGTTATGCCTCTGCTCCGGCGGCTCAACATCAAAAGCTGTCGTATTGGTGGCTACTTGAACACGCTTCTAGCTCGCTGCTCGCTAGAGATGACTCAGTTGGATCTGAGCGCTTGCGGCTTGCGACAACAGGACCTCAGGATCATTGGGCACTTTAACAATCTTACCAGTCTGTTGCTATCGGACAACAACTTCTTCAACATGGTTGCAGAACTGATTAGCGTGCTGCTTGTGTTAGAACGCCTGCGAGTGATGCATCTGTCCAACTGCGAAATTCGAGCGGACGGCTTTAATGTTCTATGGGAGTCGCTGAGGGTTTCAAGCAGCCATTTGTGCTCACTCGACCTTACATGGAACAAGCTCTCGGAGGACAACCTTGCTATGATTGTAGGTGACCTTGAAGCTGGTTGGCTACCTCATTTAGTTCATTTGTTGCTTCCTGTACCAAGCAATCCTAGCCCTGCCTACTTCGAGCTCATCAAGCGCTTGGAAGCCACAAACCCACATATTAAGGTGCAGCCCGACCTAGTATGAAATAGCTTGCTCGTGCATTGAGTACTGTGTGGTATCTTGCAAGAGCAAATTGACAAGACATTTTCTGCCTTCTAAGCACTAATATGCTGATGTGATAGTAGTGACATGTGTCACTGAAACCTGAAGCTTGCAGTTATATGTCGAATCCAATCATTGTGGATTGCCTACAACAAGACATACTAGACTTTGCCACTGAACGACAGCCCACCCTTGACAGCTTTATGCACTAAGAAGACAGGTGTGTTTGTACTACCATGTTGTACTAACGTCTCTGTTGCATTTTCTCTGGATGCAAAAGTTCATTGCTGTCTAAACTTACAAGCAGAGTGATTCAAAATATTGCTTCCAGTATATTTATAGTGCATTACTAAGCAGCAATCTTTACAGTTTGATGCCATTTTTCCTGTTTATCAAGCACTTGTAAATCAAAATTTTTTATTGATCTCCAAAAGTAAATGGCACTTCAAGAAAATATAAATATTAAAATACATTTTCTTATCTGTTGCATATTCAAGGTATGTAACTTTTCTGAACTTTCTATGAAGTGCTGTTATACAAATTTGAATGGTACAAATCCTTTTTATTCCTTTGTGGACACAGTGTGGCATTTATGTAGTTAATTATGTAGTATTCTTACCACAGGGGCACAGAAAACGACATTAACTTTCTGATGACTCAAAAATTGAATGTTATATGTACGATGCCACTCAGGCAAATCAAATGACATTCTCGGTGCCATTTGTTGTCTGTTGCCTTTACTGGTGTTTATGGCAGCAAAAGTTTATACATGATTTTTAACCTGTCGTTTTTTTCACTGACTTCTAAGCTGATTTTTCTCGGTTGCACCATAGCAAAATTTACTTCTTGATCGCAACAGCTTCGACATGACAGGCACCATGGCGTATCATAGGCTTCGTATTCAACATGTAATAGATGAACTTGCTGTGGTCGGTTGAAATGTAAAGTACCGAAACAAATGGAAGCTAATGGCAATCTAATATACTTATAACTACAGAGAGCTGAGCTATTTAGTAAGTATTCACTATAAAACAAACATGGCGGGCACACACAGAATGAAGGAAGTCGGGACTCCGCATATGCCACACCAATATGCTTGCTTCTACATTTCTCTATTATTAAATGTAGGTTTAAATTTTATTATTATCATAAAATTGTATTAGCATAAAATTGCTAGTATTGGCAAAAGTCACCGTTATTAACATCAGATCCAATGCCATTAAATTTAGACATGTGGTAGCTCGGCTAAAAAAAATCTCAGTTAGGAACTTAATGGCTTGAATATAGAATGTCATTTCATGAATCCGTGTTGCATGGCCATGTCTAACTTACTAAAATATGTTAGCAATTTCATTTTTACATTTAATGAGCCTACTTATTATAGAAATTTGAACAGTTGTATGCAAGCAAATACATTTTGCATGGGTAGAAGTACTGCGTCGATTGCGCCAATCTGACCTGCTGTGTCAGACTGCGCATAAACGGCAATTTCCGCAATAACTGTCGATTGGGAGTGTAAGCCCCCAAATCTAGCCGATTATTGTCGACCGAGCAACACTGAGCGTTGGCTATACAGTAAACCCGGCCGCATTTATATCCGGTGTAGTTCAAATATGTTGGCATTCGGTTCATTCATAGGGCTTGCTAGTGCTCGTCTCATCGCTGTTATCACCGCGATTTCCTCGCAAAAGTGGTGGCGCCAACACGAGTAACTGTCGATTTTCTGGTTGTGCACAGATGCACTAAATGGCAGTGCGTGTTTACAAGGACAAATGTAATTCTTCGTCGTGTGCCATCGCCACCAATAAGCAAACACTGTACCACAACAGATGTTGCCTGGAGTGCCCCCCAGAAAGTCCTTCCCTCAGTTTTACTAAAGTGCGCAAATGATGCTCGGCTGGCTCTTTCGCACTATATTTTCATAGCGTGCAGTAATGACGCCAAGGAGCATTTCGAAACTATCACATGGTCCGGGATATGCAGCTACTGAGATAAGCGACAGCACGGACACTATGCGCTTTCTGCGATACATGTGCGCACTTCTTTACTGTGATCGGATACGAAGTGACAACTGACAGTTTCATTGAAACATGGAGCAGTCATGTGCACATACTCCTGTTTATTTGCACGCAGCACGGCACCATTGCTGCCCACGTCGAAACTGCCTGGCGGCTTACTGTATCGTCTGCATATATTCGCCTTGTGAATTGCTCATCCCCACTTCGCTTCAAACTGATTAGCAGAGTAGTGCGTTTAATTAGGGTGGGGAGCAAAGTGCATTGCGGTTATAAAAACAAGAGATAGGCATCGCTTTTTCCTTGTTTTCTCTGAGAATTCTCTGTCACCCGTGACACACACACATCTGTGTGTTGTAAGTCTCGTAAGCTCATTGGTACTGAATGTTCAGTGAAAACCATTAGAATTTTTTTTTACCAGAAATAATTTTGATTGACGATGATGTTTTACCCCAGAAAGCTGTTCCAAAACACACCTTTTGGTGCTCCCAACTTGCTCCAAAACTTTCATCTTTACTGCACCAAAGCTGCTCCAAAACAGCATTATTCCTGCTCCCTGAGCTCCCCCAAAACACTAAAGTCCACTTCCACCCCTGATTTTGCTAGATTTTCCTACCAAGCTATTTCTTCAAAATTATTGTCCTGGAATTCACAGTGCTGTTTTCATTCTGTAGCTGGAACAGTGTGTATTGCACACCACCGTGTAGCTGATTGCAGTTCCTGTGTGCTTGTCAAAAACTAATTTAAAAGCACTGATACCAAGAAAGGACGACACTTTTTTTATGTTACCTTCTTGTCCTGCGTTGAGAAAAGATGGCAGGAAGTCTTGTTGGTATTCTGTTATTGATGCACTAGTTTTTCACTTTTATATATATTTTTTATATATTTTTCACTTTTAATGTAAAAGTTTTTGTACAAGTTTTAGAGTAAACTTTTTTATTGTATATGACATTTACATATATCAGATAAGGAGTGCATTCTTATAGTAAACAGGAAAACTATTTTGAAGCGATAGTGTTGAGCAAGATATGAAAAGATATAAACTTGAAGCAAAAGACAGGATCCTGTATATTTTAGTGTTGTTAAAGGGACCCTGCGACACATATGAAGCATGCAGTTTTCATCGCTTCTTCTCAAACTATTGAGTGCTCCGTTATCCTTGTGTGAATGAGAACACCAAAAACAAAGTTGCAATAATTTTATTTCATTAAGGAAACCACACTGTTTTCGGACTAGAGCGACACACAGCGACTATTTTTGTGATTAGGAGTGACAACATTGGCCTTGCCTTTTGATTGATTCAACGCGACCAGTGAAAGTCAGTGTCGTTTATTATTCTATTGTACATTGAAATTGATGAGATACAGAAATATATACAAATGAGAGCCCCATAGTCAAAGACAGCAGTGCATGTGGTCTTATATAGGTCACACTATTCTGTACTAAAAATTATGAATGTGCTTTTTATAATTTCCCACTCACAAAGGGATTTCTGTTTTTAAATGTGAAAATGTGAAAACAAACGCAAAACGACGCTAGCAGCGCTGTACGATGGCCTTCGGAAGGCGAGTAGTCGGGTATGTTCTTTAAGAGGCACGCTGTAATTGGAAATGGCTTTTGACGTCAGTGGGAGAGTGAAATGTGAAAAGGATTACTTTTTTTCTTGTCTGCTGGGGTTTAGGAGTTTTTAGGCAAATAACTTCCATGACCGTGTGTTGATTTCAATCATTCTTTTAGCATTATTTCAGTATTCGACACTACAGAAAAGTCCAGTGCTGCAGAATGTAGGCAAAGAAGCATTGAAAGGCCTGTTTAATAATACTAGTGTTACACTTTGATTTCAGTAATTTTGAAAATAGTAGAACTGCACAACGAGAAGATATTCCTAGTGGTGCTTTTATGTAAAACAATGTATTAAGACCAGTCCGCTCCAGTGGTGTAGCTGTTGGAGTGCTCGGTCGTGGCGTTCTCATTTCAATGGTGGAGAAATGGTAGAGGCCTGTGTACTGTGCAATGTCAGTGCACATAAAAAACCACCAGATGATCTAAATTTGTATTAGCATCTGACAGGGCAAAAGCGAACAATGCTTTTGGAATGCCAGTGGTATCATTAAAAGATGCTTTTGCTGTACAGAGGGCGTTCGTAACATACTGACCCTTAGCAAAAATGCTTTTTTGTTGGGATAACAATTGTATGGACAATCTCGGCTTGATCTTGCTGCTAGTGTCAGCATCACTGTCATTCACCGTATATGGTGTATGTTTACATATTTATATATATGAAAATGCAAGAAAGAAAAATAATCCAGAAAAAGACTTCGGCACGTGAAATCGAACGTCCGACTTTTGAATAGTGAGTGCGAGGCGATAACCACTGAGCAATGAAAGAGCTTTTTTTTTCTTTATTGCCTGTGTACATACAGCATTCACAAAAAAATATACATCAAAGGACAAACATAAACAATATAGAAGAGGTAAGCGCAAAAAAGTTAGCAGGCTTTTTAAAATTCCTGCATCTGTAGAAGGCTTTCTACTTGATGAAGCCATTCAGGCACATCTTGTTGAACCTTTTGTGACTCCACAAATGAACAGACAGATTGAAAGAAATATCGTCTTACTGGACATGCATTACATCAGGATGTGTCACCGCCATTCTAGATTGCCATATACTGTGCAGGCCCGGTAACATAACTAGGTTGAAAAGTATTCCTTTTTCATTTGATACTGAGAGAAATCTGATGATGTAGGCATTAAGAGACAGATCCTTTTTCAGAGTCCTTTGGAGAACATCCCCCAAAAATACCGCATTCCAGCCGTCAAGGAATTAGTTCGATTGTTTCCGGCTTATTGCAGAGAAAACAATCATCACCCCAAGGAACAAATAAGCCTTTTTCTTGCATACATGTTTTCACGGGTAATGTTCCAGTGTGCAATTTGAAGAAAAAGGATTTCGCTTCGGGTGGTACTTGCATTTTTTTACACGGCTTAAGACATTCTGGCCTGGGCCTACACTGTATAATCTTCTATATAGAGGAACAGGGAGAAATTTTTCTACTAGATTTTTGTATATCTATTTACGCGACACTGCACTGGGATATTTCGATGAAAAGCGAAGCCATTAGAGAGCACCTAGAGCTCCTCCTTCAACGCTTAAGCGGCAGGCTATTTGTATCTACCACTTACCACTGCTGATAGTCATCTCGGTGGAACTGTCGTGTTTTCAGCACTGCCAGCGCGACGGTGCAATGAGCGCACGGCGCCAGATCGCCATGACCCAGCGGCGGTGCGCGCTCTCATCTACTATGTGTACTTTGCCCCGTGCAGAGGAGAATGGTGGACACTCACGCATGCCCTCATCTCGTGGTGGGGAGGATAGCACGCCTTGGGCTCTCACCGGGACGATTCTGTTGTAGTTACCAGGCCCACAAAGGTCACTGCACTCGTTGCATATTCTCAGTTTGTGAAAAGGGCGCACTTTTCAGACGGAGCAAAGTAACAACTGAGACGCATATTCGCATTCATTATGTACCTGTGAGTACGTTTCGTGCGTCATTTGTGCGTGGGAAACGCGAGGCACGTTTCTATCTGCTTGACATGCTTCGCTTGACCTTACAATTTGTTGCTATCACACTCATTGCTTTGGTTTTGTGGCAAAGCTGTGACGCTTATTTTTATTGTGTAGCATTATTGTGCTAGTAGGGCTGAAAGTTCACTGTTTTCGTCCTTGTGTCTGTGAAAGGAGCAGTCTAATAGGCTGGTTCCAGAGATAGCGCAATGCAGCCCAAATTTCCTGCGGTGATGAAGTAGACTTCCTACCTAAAGTGAGTGCGAGAAAATTCCAGAGACAGTGATGGAATACTGGGGATAGCTCATTTCCCCTTAACTATTCAAGTATTTAGTTGCTCATCAATTTGTTCATTATGCTTTGATCGTGAAAAGGCATGCTGTTTCATTTTCTACCCTTCGAATTAGTTGTCAAGAACATCTCATGTGGCTTCTCACTCTGCTGGAGAATGAACACTTAGCCATTTAGTACCCGTAAATTTTTTTTGGTTTTCTAGTTTAATTGAACACAATTTTTGACAAGACATGGCATGCTTGGTCTCAGTTTTTACATCGCAAAATGTCATATGGTGCCATATCTGACCTGCTAACAAATGTAATGTAGCATAAGTAGTACATATAGGTGTAAAAAAGAACAAGGAAAATAAAAAAAACTCCAGGCCTGCATGGAGCGTGCAGCACAGTCACAGTGAAAGCGGAAAGAGCTGCCTTTCTAGAGTCTCTTCAAACAATATTGGAGGAACTGTTACAAGCACACTTGCATGGCATCCACTACACTATAAATCAATGTAATAATTGTGAAGTAGGGAAGTACCCTCTATGCCATAAATCTTCATATCTGTGAAGTAGGTCAATTATTTGTTATTCTACCCGCAGGTCGCATGATCGAACCCCAGCTGCAGCGGCTGCATTCTCGATGGAGGTGAAAATGCTGTAGGCCTGTGCGCTTTTATTTGGGCGCACGTTAAAGAACCCCAGATGGTCGAAATTTCCGGAGCCCTCCACTACAGCGTCTCTCATAATGATATGGTGGTTGTGGAACATAAACCCCACATATTAATTAAATATTTGTTATTCTGCAGAGAAGTATGGTACCTAGTTCACACCTGTTAGGTATTTCAGCACTTTGTTGATATTGTGGCTAATGACAACAGTTATGGTTTAGCCTTTTGCAATTGGTTGGAAGTATTCAATGACCCCCTCATTATGCAATTTGCATTGTGTAATGCGGGGTTGTTTTACTCTTCTAAAACGCTCTATTACACATACTAACATGGTTCCTTCCCGGACATGATGCCTGCATAGGGTCTGTTTGAGAGGGAGTTTCAAGGACAGGAGTGGCTCTGTGGTAGAATACTGGGGGGCGATCCGGAGGGCCTGATTTTCAAATCCCATTCTATCCTGCCTATTTTTTATATTATTTCATTTTTTTTATTTTGCATGATAGCAGTTAGGCATACCAGTGGCGGCGGTTGTTGTGACTCGTAACAGCTTTCGCTGTAAAGAGGATGGAGGGCGGGGGCGCGACATCACATATTTATTTATTTATTTAACAATACTGCCAATCTCATCAGAGATTATAGCAGGAAAGGCATATGAAAACGAATATTTGTTTACACAGATTCATATTGATAGAAAACACAAAAAAGCCGGTATTACAAAATGACATGCAAATCATAGGTTATACATTGCCGTTAAAGAACACGCAATCAAACAATTTTAGTAATAGGAAAACAAAATCATGAACTAGGTTATCGTTGAAAACGACTGCGAAAAAATAATGCATGCATTTGTAATATGGGGTAGGTAAAACAAGTAGGCATTTTTATTGAACAACTTATTCAAATAATTTTATGAACAATAAACTAATCGAAAAACATGTCACTTGAAAATAACAATCATAAAAAACAAAACTTTTGTATTAGCAATATGACATTGACTCGTTTATTTTATATATTGATGAGGTGATGTTAGTGCGATTTGCGAGGCAAGCAATTCGCTTTCAATCGTAGCTGTAAACAAGTTTATGGATGATTCAGTGCTTAAGGTGGGTTTTGAGAGAGTTCCAATCTTTAATAGTTAGAGAAAAAAATGAGTATTTAAAGCAATTAGTGTTAAAAGAGTATTCTACAAAAGTATAGGAATGATTATGACGGGTTGGTCTGCCGTGAAAAAAAGATTGATACCTTGAGGTATCCATTTTTATTATGTTGTGGAGTAATTGAAACATACATATGGCTCAGCGTGGTCGTGCTGTATGGCTGGGTCCCTTCTCGGAGCCCTCCAAGATTTTCATACAACTTTTTGGCTTCAAGCTGCACCCAGTATCATGCACCACTGTACGCTCTCCCTTCCTCGCTGTAATTCACAGTTTAACTCGGTGTAAGTAAGTACACTTGTACAAAATATTCTTACACATTTCAGAGCAAGCATATATAATGCTTGATGGGAGTAAACTAAAAAATATGCAAGGAACCCTAAAAAATCCATTGTTTATTCATTTAAATATTCTGAATTTGGTGATGGCGTTTGAATTCGTTGCAGTGACTCTGAATTAGTAGAAACCATTAGGCAAATTAAAGGTGGTTTTCTCATGGTCGAGATCGTCTATGGCGATTTGCTAGTAATCAGAGTGTAGGTCTATCGACGAAAAATAAGTCGCACTGTGAAAGCAGTCCAGAGCATCATCAGTGCAATTAAGCGGGTATACATTCTTTCTAGTGATCTTGTTTAAGTGCCACTATAGTATACACAAAACCGCTAAGCTGAGCTAGTTATTGCGTATTCATTATGAAACAGACAGGGCGTGCAAACACGGGCCCCGCTGCGGTGGCCCAGTGGCTAAGGCATTTGGCTGCGGACCCGCAGGCCGCGGGATCAAATCCCGGCAGCGGCGGCTGCATTTTCGATGGAGGCGAAAATGCTGTAGGCCCGTGGGCCCAGATTTGGGTGCACAATAATGAACCCTAGATGGTCGAAATTTCCCGAGTTCTCCCCTACGGCGTCTCTCCCTATGATACGGTGGTTTTGGGACGTTAAACCCCGCATATAAATTAATCAATGTGCGCGTACAATAACGTCGCAAAAGTTGCCGTCGTACCAGCGGTACTCAAGATGTAGCACCGGCTTTCCTCCTCGGGTCACCAAACTGCCGCGAGGCTGAGAGCTACACAAACAGCCGACTGTCGAGGAAAGGGGATCTGGCGCCGACATGGCTGCCGGAAACTTACGTCGAGTATTTCTTCAGTTGATGCAGATGACAGCGATTGCCCGGGACGCCACAGCATCAGCGGTGTGTCCGGCTCTGCCGGACATTTCTGTGACGCAAGACTTCTTCATTGAACTTCCTTGCTTTCCTGCGGTCCGAATGTCACTCGACCTGACGGCACTGCCAGCGGTATCAATGTTCAGTTGTGAGCAGATGTACAGCTGGCAACGATGGAAGCACCGTGACAGCGAAGCACTACAAAAGCACACCCACCATTCAACCACTTTGAGACCTGGCGCCGACATGGCTGCCGGAAACTTACGTCGAGTATTTCTTCAGGTTAGTTACTTTTACCTCCCTGTATAGGGTAGGCCATTTAAGAAATCGGGGCCAGATCCCATTGCTGTTCTTTGTTCGGTGCTTTGCTACCTGTCGGCCTTGCACGATAATGCTGTCGCGTGTGGTCATATGATGAAAACAATTTCGCTGTTATTTGGGGATATAGAGCAAAACCCAGGCCCTCTAACACTGCAACAGGAAAAGCAGATGTTCGACACCATCATGACATTACCTTCAATGCAGATCTCTCAGTCTGCCATTGTTGATGAACTTAGCTCTATCCGAGCTAACCACGAAGCGTTCAACAAAAAATAACAGAAGAAATACATTCAGTGCGAAAAGAGCAACAGGCGCTTGAGCAGCGAGTGGCAGGTGTAAATGATAGATTAACGCGTGTAGAAAGTAACACCCCCCTAGGTAACACGGGCAAAAAAGAACTTGAGCAACTTGCAGCTCAATGTGGAGTGCTTGCGCGTGCATGTCAGGCTATGAAAGATTGTCAGGACGACCTCGAAAGTAGGAATCGTCGAAATAACCTGGTATTTTATGGTTTCCCAGATAACGAGAATGAAACGTGGGCACGATCACAGGAAAACGTTATTTCTTTTTGTTCTAGTGACTTACAGCTCGAAATTGCCCCTGACGCAATTGAACGAAGTCGCAGATTAGGCCGATATTCGGCGCCGAGGAAAAGACCCGCCATAGTAAAGTTTCTATCTTTTAAAGAAAAGGAACGTGTGCTGAAGTCTTCTGGCAAGCTAAAGGGAAGCAACTTTGGAATCAGTGAAGACTATTCACCCAAAGTCAGGCTAGAGAGGCGAAAATTGATATGATACGCTAAAGGAAAAGGTGGTCATTTTAAGCTTCGTTTCAATAAGCTATCCATGGATGACCAAATATTCCTGTATAACAGTGCTGAAGATAGAGTTGTGCCTAGTCGTAGATAGCAATCACCTCGAAGTGCCATTTTACTGACAAAAGAATTGAGAAAAAATGAACTAACGTGCATCGTAGTTAACTGTTGCAGTTTGAAAAACAAAAGAACAGAATTTTTTTCGTTATTAGACATGACTAAACCACACGTAGTTTTTGGCACAGAATCTTGGCTCGATACCACCATCGCAGATCATGAATTCTTTCCGTCGACCTATGCAGTATACCGAAGGGACCGCACGGCGCACGGAGGTGGTGTATTCCTAATGATCCAAAACAGTATCAGTAGCGTTCGTATTCATGGTGTTAGTGACTTGTGTGAATCTGTGTGGTGTAAGGTTATGCTGTGTGGTGGCTCAACTGTGGCTGTTGGTTCCTTCTTTAGGCCCCCCAGTAATACAGCACCCGAGCCTTTATTTACTTTAAGCAATATTTTGTCAACCCTAAATACAACATACATAATGGTTGCCGATGATTTTAACCTACCTGATGTTTCATGGTCCTCATTCAAACCGATAATTCATAGTGAGTCACTGCTACATAGAGCTATTCAAGAAATCGTGAATGCCCATCAGTTATATCAGCTTGTGACAGCCCCCACGAGGGTGTGCAGTACTAGTGCAAGTGTATTAGACCTGTTTTTTTGCAATGATCAAACGCTTGCTTCCTCTGTTGTTACAGTACCAGGTATTAGTGATCACGAAGTTGTCCTTGTTAAAATGTGCTTAGCTGTAGCTCAACAACGAGCTTCGGGGCCCAGAAAGGTGTTTTTATATGAAAGAGTAGACTGCGCTTCTATTTAAACAAAACTAGACTCTTATTTACCTGAGTTTCAAAAACTATGCTCGTGTTCTGATGTGAATGGCTTGTGGAATGAGCTAAAAACAAAACTGTTATCTCTAACTCAAACTTTTGTACCATCGGGAGTCATATCAACCAAACAACGAAATGATAAACCATGGCTAAATAAGGAACTCCGAGTGCTCATAAACAAAAGAGATCGTCTCTATCGCAAATATTGTCACACGTCAGACCTTGAAACATACAAACAGATGAAACTACTTGGTAAGAAGATAACCAAAGACCTGAGGAAAGCAGAGAGAGCATACATGAGTGATCTGAGTATTAAGGTGAAAACTAACCTGAAACTCATCTGGAAATACATTAAAAGAAAGCCAAAGGTTCCTGGTGGTATTCCTGATATAATTGATGGTACTAAATACTTGTTGGACAGTACAAGTAAAGCTGAATGCTTTAACTGGTACTTTCAGCCTGTGTTTTTTTTTTTGTTTCGTCAGTGGTTCAAACTACAATGTGCAACACAGTAACGTTATCGGAAATGGCGGAGTTTGAAGTTTCAGAACAAGGTGTTGCATCTCTTTTAAAAAACCTTTGTGCGAACTCGGCATCAGGGCCACATCAAATCTCAAACTTCATTTTAAAGAACTGTGCCCTTTCAATAAGCCCATTTCTTACAGCTGTGTTCAGAAATTCTTTATCGCAGGGTGCATTACCTGATGACTGGAAACGAACAAATGTAATTCCTATATTCAAGAGTGGTGACAAGTCAAGTACTTGTCACTATCGGCCCATTTCGTTAACGTGTGTGTCCTGTAAGACACTTGAGCATATAATATACTCGAACTTGGCAAAGCATCTTCAGACTAACAATTTTTTCTGTCCAACACAGCACGGGTTCCTGGAAAGGGTTTTCCTGCGATACGCAACTCGTAGAACTTACACATGACATCGCCGCAGCGTTAAATTCCGGTAGCCAAATTGATTGCAATTTTTTAGACTTTAGCAAGGCTTTTGACACTGTTACACACTCGCTCCTTTTACTGAAATTATCGTGTCTTAATATATCTGCTAACACACTGGCATGGCTACAAGCTTATCTCTCATGCAGGAAACAATGCACCATCATCGACAGCGCGTCATCGTCACATGCTGACGTCATTTCAGGAGTGCCACAAGGCTCCGTCCTGGGGCCGCTTCTCTTTTTGATTTATATCAATGATCTTTCTGAATGCGTGGACAGTCAAGTGAGGTTGTACGCAGATGACTGCTGCATATATCGTGAAATTGAGTGCACTCAAGATTCCGAACAACTGCAGAAAGACCTTGACTCAGTAATAACATGGTGCAGTACGTGGAAAATGCACCTTAACGTGTCAAAGTGCTGTGTAGTTAGGTTTACCAATAAAAAACAGCCTTTTATCACAAATTACTTCATGGAAAGGATACCATTATTCGTGGTAAATGAATACAAGTATCTTGGCGTTGCCATCAACAGCACACTATCGTGGAATGATCATGCTCGCATGGTATCAGTTAAAGCCAGTCGCGTGCTGAACTTCCTACGCCGCAATTTCAGAACCGCCCCCTCTGTTCTTAGACAAGTTCTTTACGTGTCAAATGTACGCCCGATTTTCGAGTATGCTTGCACTGCCTGGGACCCGGCCACAAAGTTAAATATTGATGCATTGGAGCGCATTCAGAAACGTGCCGCCCGGTTTGTGAGGGGTGATTACGACTTCAGCAGAAGGTCTAGCAAAGTTGTTAGTTCACTTGGTTGGCCGTTGCTCTCCTCAAGGCGTAAATATGTCAGACTATGTCTTTTCTACACCCTAATAAACGACAAAACTGGGATCGATAAAAACAAATACATCAGACCACCATTATACATCTCATAACGACGGCACCATCCTTTGAAAGTGTGTGAATATATGTGCCGAACATCAATGTATGCAAATACTTTGTTTCCTAAAACTATTCACGAATGGAACAGTCTTCCAAAAAACATTGTGACCGACCCTTCCGCAGCATTTCCTTCCCTTTTAAAGGAGTATGTGGTCAAACAATGATATTGTATGCTGTGATTTAGTTCTTTCTGATTTGTTTTTATTTTTTTAGTGCCGTGCAATTCAACTTGTCCCCACTGATTTAAATGTACTTTGAATTTGTAAACCCCCCTACAACAATGCCCCCAGATGGCGCTGTAGTTATAAGTATAAATAAACCGCGATCGATCTTGCAGGGGGCCATCTTTCACAGCGACCAACGAAGAAAAGTGCACGTCTGAAGCATTTCCGTTGATGCGATGGCAGCTGAGCAAAATCGGGGCTCATCGTCCGATGTGTGGTCATGACTTCTACACAGTTTGAACATTGCAATGTCTTAGGAAGACGAGATGAAAGCGACGAGCTGGCGGAGATCTTGTTGGGAACTCTGCGGCTAGCTAGAGTTGCCACCTTTAGGTAGCAGAGTTGCGCCACTGTTTTCCGGGCACCGCTCGGTTCGCCTGCAGGAGTTCAGCAAATGGATGCTATGAGCGTCCCCTTTACAATGGGGCGATGACATGTGTGCCAACAGGCTCGCTAGAAAAGAAAATGGAAAGACTTTCTTTTTATGTTCGCCTTATGTACTTCGAATAAATCAATGTTTTTAAACCAAAGAAAAATATAAACTTATTTTTTTTTATTTATTTATACTGTCAACCCTGTTGAGGCTCATTACAGGGAAGGTACGACACACTGTACAAACAAAGTAGGCACATAACTATACATCTCACAATGATAAACCAGATATACATATATACAAATGCATGACAGCTCTGCAATTGCCGAACGAAAAACACACACCCTAATTTGCCATGCAACAGCTAACAATCGCAATAATGTTTACAAAAAATTACATAAATGTAAATCAAGTAAACGCACGAATTCATTACATCATCCACATTGACTATATTACTCGGTAACCCATTCCAACCTTCGATGACATCAGGGAAGAAAGCATAATGGTACGCCTTCATTCGCGCAAAATAAGGTTTCAGTACTCGCGCGTGGTTTGTCCTCTCACTTTTCTTGAGTTGTTGGACCCATGCCGTCATTTCTGATAATATTAAATGCACCTTTCATTAATTGAAAAAGAAGATTTAATCAATTTATAAGTCTGTGCTTGTGGAGCATCTCCAAATCACAGAGTTGTTGCATTTCTGTGACTGAGTCATTCTGCTTATATCTCGAGCATATAAAGCAAGCCGCAAGCCGTTGCATGCGTTCAAGTTTATTTACCAGCACTTTTTGATGAGGACTCCAGACAATACTGGCATATTCCAGTATCGGCCGTGTGAAAGTTTTAAAAGCAAGAAGTTTTACGTCCATACTTGGAACCCGCAGTTTTTTCTCTTAAGTACAATATCTATGAAACCCTAGAGCAAACATTATCAATATCTGTATGCCACTTAAGGTTATGCGTCATTGTGAGACCTGGGTGCTTAAACGCAATAACCGTCAACAAGGTGAGATTCCCAATACAGTATTCAAATGGAATTATCGCTTTTTACTACAAATGAAGGTAACGGTAGATTTCAAATAATTGATTACCATTCCCGAAGCTCCACGCCATGAGTTTATATCCTTTAGACATTCGGCAATGTTAAACTGGTCGTTACTACCAGTCACTCGCACATAAATTAAACGATCATCAGCAAACAGTTTGAGCTTTACATGAGTAAAACTTGCGTTGGGTCTAGTTGGTACATAGCACAATAAGAAGGGAGCTTCTTTGGGGCAAACAACACAGAAAAAAGAAAAAAAGAAAAGGAGGCGAGGAAAATGACAGATTAACGCCAATCTTTACACGAGCTTTCGCTACATCTGCGATATCGTTAAGATATATCATAAAGAATAAAGACCCAAGAACCGAGCCTTGTGGAACATCTAGCAAGCTAGACATAGAGTTCTCAATTTTCACGAATTGCTTCCTGTAATTAGGTACGCTTTAATCCAATTAGGTAGAAGTAGACTGTGTCCAGCACAGTGAAGCTTATACACCTGTCGGTCGTGAGATACTTTATCGAAGGCCTCAGCAAAATCTATCCAGATGACATCAATTTGTTCATTCATATCTAAAGCTGTCGCAAAATCACGGATAGTTTCAATAAGCGGTGTTGTAGTTAAGACTTTACTCCTAAAGCGATGCTGATAAGGATAAAAGTAATTTTTATTTTTCAGGAATGTGACTATACATGCTTCACAATGACATGTTCTAATATTTTGCAGCAGATAGATGTGAGCGACATGGGACGGTAATTATTCGCGGACAAACTACAGCTGTGCGCCAGTCAGATGGAACTGAACTAGTACAAATAGACTTTTGAAAAATAACTTCCAAGTAGTAAGATGTCCACACGCTGCAAAAAAAGGGGTGGGTATTTTATCAGGTTCGCATGCTTTCTTCAGAAATCAAGAGACAATAGACTCTTCAATACTCCTTGTCGACTGGTAGTATGATATCACCCATCGTCTCACATAAGTGGCATATTACATCATTTGTTTCAGTGTCACATCGGCGTCTTGTAAAAACTGACTGAAAGAAAATGTCAAGACTATCTCCAATATCAACATTCTGCATCACGATTTCATTTCCACGTTTCAGCTGGTCAATTTTATCGCGCTTATCACACATACAAAGCCAGAACTTGCAAGGCGAATGTTTAATGAAAGAATTCAACTGTTGACGAAAAAAAGCACGCTTGCATTCCAACAGCACTTTCTTCAATTCTTTTCGTACTCATGCTATTTGATCGGAACTATGCTTCTTTTTCTCCGCAGCCTTTTTAACTTTCGCTTCTTAGGAATAATATCGCATGCTATCCATGGATTGGGCTTTTTAGTATTCTTTACTCTATACTAGGCATGAATTGGCTGATGCAATATTTAATAATAACTTTAAAACATTGCCACAATTCTTCAGCAGTTTCGCGCTTTGATACGTGCTCAAAATTACCAATTGAATACCCCAAAATGCCAAGAATGAAAGTGTCATCTGCTTTCGCGTAATCCTTTACTTGCATGGTCTTATATGGGTTCTAGTTCATGAAACATTCAGTGGAATAGTAACAGAGACCAATCTATGATCAGAAACTCCCTCCTCAACACATGTTATAAATGCACATTTTGTTTGAAAGGAACACCAGGTCCAACACTGACCGAGACGAATATTTTATCCTTGTATATTCGCGCACTATTTGTGTTAAGTTATGAGCAAATATTATTTCCAACATCTTTTCACCACTATCAATCTCGACCTCCCTAGGCAAGAAAAAAGCTTCCTAGTCAATACGGGATAGATTAAAGTCTCCAATTAGAATAAGCCTGGTGCTGCCATTTACATGGGCACAAAGAAAGTTATTTTATTCATCAAAATAGTCTGATGCTGTTGCGGGTGGTCTGTACACGACACCAAGAAGGTATTCTGTGTTAAAAAAGCTTATTCTACACTACACTGTTTCTGGTGCATTGCTTCGATCTTGCGAGGCCAAAACGGAGTTTTTTTTTTTTTTTTTACTATGATCCATGGCAACCCCAACCCCTCGTGAGTCCCTATCAGATCTAAAGATCTTGTAGCCTTCTGTCACAATGCAGTTATCAGGGACACAACTGTGTAGCCACGTTTTAGTTATGGCCACCACATGATGACTTCGCGATAACAAAATGTATCCAAGTTCAGTTATTTTATTAACGATGCTTCGGGCATTAAATAAGAGAAGCCGGAGCTACGTCTGTGGTTAAAAAAAAAAAAGGCGTTGCTAGCGCGTTAGATGACATACTCTCGTTTCTTGTACTGCTTGTTCCTGCATCGGCAGCCTCAAGGGCATTTCTATGTTTCTGTTTATCTGCACGATTTCGATACAGGTATCGTTTTTCTCGAGTGACTCCCAGCCGCATATATCACCGTTTATTTTAATCTTATCACGCACCAACTTCACCTGTACACCGTCAGCCATATCTGAAGCTGCACTTTTCTATAGCTTGCACCTTATTTCAACCGTGTCTCGGGTGTAGTCGTGGCTTTCTATTTTTAGCAGTTTTTGAGGACACTTTCTTTCTCACGGTAATTGTAGTACTTCATGATTATGGGCCTATCTTACCCAGGTTTTTCTTACCAAATCGATGTATTATTTCAATCGTTTGGATTTCTATACCAAGGGCTTTTTCAAAGATCGCATCGACCACAACTATCTTCAAATCAACAGCTGAAGCTCCCTTGCGTTTGAGCCCCGCCGCGCTGGTCTAGTGGCTAAGGTACTCGGCTACTGACCCGCAGGTCGCGGGATCGAATCCCGGCTGTGGCGGCTGCATTTTCGATGGAGGCGGAAATGTTGTAGGCCCGTGTGCTCAGATTTGGGTGCACGTTAAAGACCCCAGGTGGTCGAAATTTCCGGAGCCCTCCACTACAACGTGGTGGAGGGCTCCGAAAATTTCGACCACCTCATATGTGGGGTTTAACGTCCCAAAACCACCATATGATTATGAGAGACGTTGTAGTGGAGGGCTTCGGAAATTTCAACCACCTGGGGTCTTTAACGTGCACCCAAATCTGAGCACACGGGCCTACAACATTTCCGCCTCCATCGGAAATGCAGCCGCCGCAGCCGGGATTCGATCCCGTGAGGTGCGGGTCAGCAGCCGAGTACCTTAGCCAGTAGACCACCACGGCTGGCCCTCATGATTGATTGATTGATATGTGGGGTTTAACGTCCCAAAACCACCATATGATTATGAGAGACGCCGTAGTGGAGGGCTTCGGAAATTTCGACCACCTGGGGTTCTTTAACGTGCACCCAAATCTGAGCACACGGGCCTACAACATTTCCGCCTCCATCGGAAATGCAGCCGCCGCAGCCGGGATTCGATCCCGCGACCAGTGGGTCAGCAGCCGAGTACCTTTGCCACTAGACCACCACGGCTGGCCCTCATGATTGATTGATTGATATGTGGGGTTTAACGTCCCAAAACCACCATATGATTATGAGAGACGTTGTAGTGGAGGGCTTCGTAAATTTCAACCACCTGGGGTTCTTTAACGTGCACCCAAATCTGAGCACACGGGCCTACAACATTTCCGCCTCCATCGGAAATGCAGCCGCCGCAGCCGGGATTCGATCCCGCGACCAGTGGGTCAGCAGCCGAGTACCTTAGCCAGTAGACCACCACGGCTGGCCCTCATGATTGATTGATTGATATGTGGGGTTTAACGTCCCAAAACCACCATATGATTATGAGAGACGCCGTAGTGGAGGGCTTCGGAAATTTCGACCACCTGGGGTTCTTTAACGTGCACCGAAATCTGAGCACACGGGCCTACAACATTTCCGCCTCCATCGGAAATGCAGCCGCTGCAGCCGGGATTCGATCCCGCGACCAGTGGGTCAGCAGCCGAGTACCTTTGCCACTAGACCACCACGGCTGGCCCTCATGATTGATTGATTGATATGTGGGTTTAACGTCCCAAAACCACCATATGATTATGAGAGACGTTGTAGTGGAGGGCTTCGGAAATTTCAACCAC